GAGTTCTACCCGATGGCTTACAACCTGCCTCTTATACACATCTAGATGCCTATACGAGACAGATGTTAGGATCTTTCAAATAGTTTATCTTTGTAGAATATATGACTGAAAATTTAAAGATTAGTGTTTTAAATATAAAAACGTTATTCTTTGAAAATGACTTCTGTTTTAATAATCAAATAGGCCCTAGGTGAAATTTGAATCACATAAGTTTACTTTATTTATAGATCATAATAATTGCGCAGTTGTGTCAGTAGCAGGAGTTAACATTGAGCTCAATGACACAGTGGCCAACGTACCTTGAATCCCCGCCAAAAAGTTACCGGATTAAGTAAACAATCCTTGACCGTCCAAATAAAGACCTAGCTCCTCCAATAATACATCGAATACGTTTTATAAACTTAATTATTTAACAATCCGTATTTCTTTTTCACTATTGTTGTTTTTCAGTTTTCAGGCTTGCCCTTACTAGAAACATAAACATCAAACAATGGCTACTTCAGGTTCTAATCATTTCCTCTGTTTCGTGACTCAATATTAAAAGCAGTTTAACTTGCGTTTCAAGTGCGTCTTAAAATGCTGCAGCAAAATAAACGGTTACAGTAATGATTTTATAGGAATACATTTTTTCGCACTCGTTCTTATTATTTAGAAATGTCTGTCACTGACTGTGCTCGACAGAAAAAAATCAAATCAATTAAAAGTTAAACAAATTGTTATGAACTTTATTGTATTAATAGTCAGCTTACTAATTTTGCTGTCCATTGTTCGGCATTCGACAAAGATTTTTCCCGTGCTGTATTTATAGTCCATTCCAGTAAATTGGCAGTCGTCGACCGACAACAATCAGTGATAGCGAAATCGTTTGTTTACAATGTTAGACAATGGTAATAGATTATGCAAAAGGGTCATAATGATAACAGTTGCTCAATTTGTGTTTCGAAATGTGTCGCTTCGATCTTTGATTTCATGCAGTATATTTACAAAGTCACTTTGAACATTATAGCTTCCATTGCGCAATGTTTCGTCATAGTGTATATTGTATCTGTGGTTTCGTATTTTGATTGATAGATTGATTGTGTAATACTCGGTACTGAGGGCCAAAGGTTACGCGTGCCTTGTTTGCAAACATGACTTCGACTACTATTGTACTTATTTATAGGTCACATGCTGTAACTATTTGATCGCATTGATGTTTGACCTAATTAAATTTCTCTTACAGTACCTGTACCAAATCCAGGTGATACGCAAGCGCCATCATGCACAGGTAAGACAATATACAGTAGATTAATACTTAATCAATAGTTATTAATTAATTCTCTTTAAGATTAAACATATTTTATCAGATTTTACCTATGACGAACAAAGGCCAGCCGAGTTAGATTGTGGCCCTCCTACCCCCCCCCCCCCCCCCCCCCCCCCCCCCCCCCCCCCCCCCCCCCCCCCCCCAACGTCCCTGAATTAGAAGAGAGGAATAACAATTTCCATCACATAAATTTATAATGTAAATGGTTTTTTTTTTAACCTATAGATAACCGATTTACTGAAGGCAAGAGCTACGTCTATTCTTACGAATCCGAATCAGTGACCGGAATCGTAGGAACAAGCGAACGCCTATCCGGACTAAAAATTGACTGTACGGTACAACTACAAGTGCCGGAACAGTGTGAATTTATCTTGACGTTACAGCAATGTACCCTCAAGGAACTAGACCCCGACGTGACGTCTTTCGACTGGTCCATCATGGAGGAGAAGAGCGCAGCTTTCAACAACGAAATGGTGAAATATCCCCTACTGTTCACTATGGATGGTGGAAAAATCACCGGTCTAGAAGCCCGCCAAGCTGAACCTCTGCATATTCTGAACGCAAAGAAGGGTATACTGAGTGCTTTCCAATTGGAGGTGGTTAATTCCACTAAGTCCATCACCGTAATGGAGGAGAACATTTTTGGAAACTGCTCAGTGGACATCAAACCTCACTACTCAGAAACGAAGGACCGCATTGACTACATCGTCACCGAAAAGGACCTGACCACGTGTATTCGCCCATCCAGGAATGTTCCAGTGCCAACTTTGGTTGAGACCATCACTAACTTTGTAAGTGTTGATAATGTTCACCGCTACTTATCGTTTTCATTATTTTTAGCTACACTTCTATGGCTATTGCAGTGAAGACGAAATGACTAGTAGACACATTATTTTCATTTCTGATGATTTTTCAATGAAAGGAGAACATATAATTTTCGATTAGTCTCGTAACATAATGAAAGTGTTATAATTTATGCAACGAACCCCTAGGGAACATACAAAAAAGTTTTGTAATGATCAAGCTGCTATCATTGCATTTGAAGCCAACTCAGCTACAGTAGATAGAGAGGGATAGAAAAGGAGAGAATGAACGTGAATATCAAACTTAACCGACCAATCAAAACAGGCCAGGATAACGCCTTTGGAAAACATACTTGCTGTTCCACAAACGCGCGTTTTTACGTATGTTTGCACTATCATACTGTGGGACCGTTTAGCCACTATAGCCAAAGTGGGGAGGGGGGTTATTGAAGTGGTCCCTTTCGTTAAATGTTTCACGATACTTTATTATCTATGTGTCTGTTTTCAAACTGTGTTATGGAATAATTTGATTTGATTCTCATATATTTTGCTTTCTATTTAGACTCTTGCAGACAAACTCTTTGATTCAAAGCAGTTCTGTAAACACAGCATCAAGAAGTCCCATGTTGACATGATTAAGTGTGATGAGCGACATTTGTTCCGCCCAATGAGCTACATGGACGCCAGTTTGCAAACCAACATTACAAAAGTCATCGTATTTCTGGATTCGACTAAGATGAACTCTAAACCAAAGATCGATAACAGTAAGTTAATAAAGAAATTTCTGGTAGGCCTATTACACGTGATGTTAGATTCAATCTAAGCAATGATAGGGGTGGCGCCAGGATTGGCCCGACGGGGTTTCCGAGGTTCCCGACGTGGGGCCGATGCCCCTACGAGGGGGCAAATTTCCTTGACGAGAGCAAAGTAGGCGTGGTTGAGAGTCCCTTAAAACATCTCTAAAGTGTGCAGGGGCGAAGCCTGCGTAAATTTTGAAAATTTAGGGGTAAAGGCGTATTTAATCGATTTTAGAGTCTACTATATGTAGAAAATACATATGATTTTTTTTCCGATGAATTGTGGCTTTTCTCCCCGACGGTGTGATGGAGGGGGGGGGGCTCTCGCCGACAGGTGGTTTCCTCGGCCCCCACTGACACCACCCCTGACCAATGACAAGATTAATATCAGATTTATTATCTGTAACATATCGAAGAAAAATTCCATTGTCTTATAAGTAGCGATCTTGAGTTTCGCAAAAGAACTCAGTGTACTTGACGGTGGTGATTATTATAAAGAAGAGTAACATACATATACATACTTCACATGTACACCAAATAAAAAAAAATCTATTCTGTTTGGCAGGAGACAGTCGCTCAACTGATTTAGTGTACGAATTTGAAGATGAGAAGTTTCCAGGAGTCGTTGGCGTAGATGGAGCCATTGAATCTCTGATGACACTTGTGGAGAGCACCGTAGATGAGGTCAAGATGGACACTCCACGCAGATTTACTGAATTCGTTGCCATACTTCGATCCCTGAGCAATGAAACACTTCATGAGTTCTACCCGATGGCTTACAACTGCTCCAAGTACAATGATAAATGTGCCGAAAACCTCTGGAAAGAAAAACTTGCCAGGTAAGCTCGAAAACAATACTACTGATCTTGTCGCATTTAGCAAATAGAAGATATTGCATTACATTCTAACGTCTATCGTTTGCATTATGAATTTCGTAATTCACCATACATTAGTTACACGCTTTTTGAAAATAGTTTGTTTATTTTGTACGACAGGCAGTACATTTACGATGGATTGAACCACTGTGTAACGCAATCCTGCTTCTCATTGATCAATACTATGATTGCCAATAAAGAGATTGACGGTATAATGGCCCAGAAGATGCTCTACACCATGGCCATGCAGCCTTACCCAACAGAAGTACTCATCCAAGAGACTCTTCGCATTTCCAAGGCCCTGCGCACACAATCATCAATCCTCACCCTTAGCACCATGGTGCACAACTACTGGGTCAACAACCAGGAAATAAGAGAACAGCGTAATGTAAGTAAAAACACCAGCATTTGTTTATTGCACCAGATGTTATTTATAAAATACCTGAAAACATATATTTAAAATATGTATTTTACATTTTAATTATAAAGAAAAAAAATCGATTAAATCTAATGTGATAAGTAGAAACTACCACCAATTTGCTAATGAGCTTGTACAAAGTTTCATCAAATCGTTAGCGTTTTTATTTTTTTTGTTTAACATTTATTAAATATTCTTTTTATTACTTTACAGCTTCCAGATGTATTGTACAATACTATAGAATTCCTCAAAGGCATCATCAACTACGATTGTACCGCTCAATCTAACGAGCTTGATACTGGAGTTAGTGCTGAGTCTAACCGCCAGATTCTCTTGGCCCTCAAAGCCATTGGCAATATTGGAGAACCAGTCCAGTTTTACGACAACGCCATCTTTGTTGACACTGACAAAATCATCAGTACTCTCTTCCGTTGTGCCAAGAATCCAGCAGCTCCACGCAACATCACGCTAGCCGCCATCCAAGCCTTCCGACGTCTCAACATCCGCACCGCTCAGCTTGAGCCTTTGAAGGAAATCTTGTCTAACACCAACATGGATGTTGAAATTCGCATTGCTACGTACTTGATGATTATGAGAAGTTCTCCAGCAAAAAGAGACCTCAAGGCAATCATTGACAACATGCGTGATGAGCCAGTTGATCAAATCAGAGCATTCATCGGATCTCATATTCAAAATGTACTCGAATCTGAAGAACCATCTCTACAGAGGTAAGCCTACATCCTAAACTTTGCAATTAATTTAGGAATAAAAGAAAATGTTATGAACATACTAAAATGTTATTGTTAGAAATTTATAATTTGTGTCCTCTACATGTTTTTCTATAGCCTCCGCTCCAAATTGCTCAAGATTCTTGTTGACGATCCTTTACCAGAGTACCCAAGGAACATTTTGAAATACTCACGCAACATCGAATTCTCAAAGGCTTTCCGTCTCCCATACATCAACAAGACCAGCTCATCTCAGTTTGAGAGCAACATTATCTACAACGCCAATGCATTCCTGCCACGTGCGGCCATGTTCAACACAACTTTGAATGTTCTTGGACGTAGCCTGTATATGGTTGAAGTTAGTATAGACTCCGATTTTTTTCCTCGTCATTGAATTATATCATATAAATGATAATATTATTATTAATAATAATTTTCATTATTATAAACATTACATAAATTGATACACCTCATGAATGAATGAATTAATTGGCCTTAATAGACGACCATTTCAAATATGGACAAGGCAAAAGGTTTACATTTTTTTTTTACAAAAGTTGAATATATTTCCTAATTGTTTACAAATTATTCGACCTTTCCTTCCTCATATTATATCCCTATCAACCTTACTTTTTTATGATATAATATTGATTTTATTTCCTGCTTTTAGTTTGGAATTGATATGCAAGGATATGAAAAGACTCTTGAGGCAATGTTTGGGCCACAAGGGTACTTCCCTGACGTTGTCTTGGAAAATATGTACAAGAAGAGCAAAGATCTACTGAAGTTCTTGAACGAAACTTACCAGAGGAAGAGTGTAGAGTATGGCCTCCCCGAAAAGATTGAACAACTCTCTGCCAAGGCTGATCAAGTCCTCGAAATGGCCCAACCATATTTGGACATGGCAAAACCATATATGGACATGGTCGAACCATATGTCAAGAAGGCAATAAAGAAGGGAGAACCAATCTATAAGGAAGCTAAAGCAATGGCTAAGCCAAGCATTAAGAAGATGAAGAGGAAGCTGATGAACCTTGCCGAATCTCTGCCAGAAACTAACGAACCAACAGAGGTAAGATTTCAAAAAACAATTAGAGTGGAATCGCTGTTTGGTAGTTACGGTATTTGCCCTTTAAACGTATATCAACAATAATTTAAATTCACAGGCTTTCTAGAAGTGGAACAAAAATGATCAGTATTCAGCTATTCAGTACATTTCCAACACATTCAAGAAGTTCATAATGAGCATAATTTGTTTGAGTACTATATTGCATTACACGGTTGACGACTGTTTATGACGATTTTGTTTTAATGTGTTTATTTTAGTCAACTGGTGAAGATCTCCTGCCCAACAACATCATGATGGAATTGGATAAAATGCACGCCAAGGTCTCCCACCTTCCCGAACCAAAATACATTTCCATCTACTTAAGAGCTTTTGAGAATGAGCTTGGATTCACAACCGTTGAGGAGATGCTGTCCATGATCCCAAGATTGAATGTCACCAACATCAAGAAGGTGAACATGCAAATGGTTGTCGATGTAATGAAGGATGTAAGTGATAAACCTATATACCGAACAACCAATCGATGAATACTTAAATCGTTAAAAAAATAAAACATTTGTTTTCACATCATTGAAAAGGCTGTTAATTAGCAATTTACATAAATTATGTCTTTAGATTTCCAAGAAACTTGCGGATGGAGTTGAAATTAATATGACCAAGAGCATGATACTTGTTCAACGTGATTGGGTCGTACCAACCAGCATGGGTATTCCAATGAATGTCTCCCTCAATGGCACAACCTCCATGGCTGTTCGCTCCCTATTCCGAATGAAGGTAGATGACATCAAGAAGCCAATGTTTATTGAGGGTAAATTTGCCCCGAGTGCTGCTGTCGAGGTTGCCGGAAAGATGGGTGTCACACTTCCCTTGTACGGAGAGACTGGTGTCTTGATTAACGCTACGGTTTACCACTCGTCCAGTATCGCTGGCAACGTAACCTATAAGAATGGACGTGTTCGATTCAACCTGAAGAACATCAAGGAACCAATGAACCTCTTCAACTTCTCCACCAACTTTTTCTTGGTTCGCCCAGACAATGTAGTTGAATATTTGCCAGGTGTTGAGAAAGACCGAAGCGAATATAAATTCTGTACAAACGTCTCACGTGTAGTGGCTGATGATCTGTGTCTTTCATTCGCATATCCCAATGCCAGTTACGCCTATGCTGCACGCTTCCCTCTGTCTGGACCAATGAGTTTCAACATCACGCTTGTGCCAACCGACAGGTATGTTAACTATTGCAATGATTTATAATATTTTGAATTTATTCTGTATTCTGTATATCTGTCCCTATTAACAGTATATAACGTGCAGTATAGTTATGCAACTACATTATTTCAATATACCTACTACTGTGCTACTTCATCAGTTAATAAAGTATTATATATGGTATATATAGTATTATTTTTAAATTTATATTTATATACCATTGTTTCTTTTAGTGTTGAAGCTTTTACAATGGAAGCATCTTTCAGAAGGGAGAAGACCAGTATTCCTAAGAAAGTATTCAGTTCAATTGGTAAATCATCCGTCAAACCTAGGCTGCTGAGAGACATTGTCCACTTCAACTTTTCTGCACCAGGTAAAGAACTAACCCGCAACATTTCTTCCCTCTTGGTGGTCGACTACCAAAAGACAGAAGTTCAATGGAACTTTACCGTCCCAGAGGTCAAGGCCTTCCGCATCTATGCCGGCATCCTGAACCTGACTGACAGCGAGAAGAACAGAGTTGGATACCATCTGACCTACAACATTTCTGCTGCAGAGATTTACAACGCTTCTAACTCTCTAACATTAGTCAGTGAATCTGATGAAATGAACACCAACTGCTCAATAATCTTTGACACCACTGTGATGGCATGGCGCCACACAATCCATGCCCAGTACCTTAACAACTCTGGCAACTGGATCGGTAGCCTCAATGAGACCTACTACTGGTAAGATATTAGCAAATTTACGTTACATAGTATTATTATATTTGTATTGAAATGTAATTTTTTGTTTGCATCATCACAATCATATTATCGTTTAAATCCTCATCTTGCTCTTGTATTCTACCACAATAATTTGCATATCGTATTAAATTCAACAGGGACAATGAGACTCCTCTTTACAAGCAGATTTTGTGGCCTTTCAATGACTATAGCATCAAAGCCGACAAGTTCAAAACTGCATACGTCCTCGTCAAGAGTTACGAACGTGAATGCGAAGAGGTTGGATGCAGCAAGAGACAACGTGTTTTTGAGACCAGCATGTTCAGACAGAACTTCACTCTAAACAACATCCACACTAAGAAACCAAAGAGCATTGTAAATACCCTCAATGTTACCTTTGCCAATGACAATTTGGTAAGTGAAATCTTGTCTCTATATATAATATTATCAGTATCTAATACCAACCAATAATAATCAGAGGCGTGACATTGAATTTGCAATTATACATTGGAAAATCGGCACAAAGGGCAACTTTATGCTACCTAGGAGTACACTTAGCCGTGTCGCCGTACCCAGCGCACGAATCTACATTTAATGAGCCATCCTATCAGGTATAATTTTCCTGGATAGAGGAAAGCAGATGTACTGTAGGTACAGGAAGCCTAAGGACACTTGCGAAATTCACTGCGAGAATAATATATTATATATGTTAAATTTACAATTATGTTTTATTGTCATTTTTGAATTTTTATCTATCTTGACATTTAAATTTCTAAAGGTTCTTCCAATTATGAACTTCACCACCCAATTGTTAAACAAAACCGAACTGGAGGTTGAGAAGTACGAAGTCACTATGAATGCTTCTCGCCATGAGCGTTATGCTGCCATCATTCACGACATCACCCGTATCCGTGGAGAATATAACCACTCTATTCGCTTTGTGTACTACAGCTTTGCTAAGCTGACCCTTCCCCAATTTAAAGAAGTCCTCGGCTATCCACTTGCCTTAGGTAAGTATATAGTTATTCAGTTTGAATCATGAGTTGAAAGTATAATTTGGTACTTAAAACATTGTATGTGGATCTAATGTAATCTAATTTCTTGAAGTTATTACGTCTTTAGTAGACTGTGTATCTATGTATGGAAAAATTGTAATTAGATTAAACAAATAATAAAATAACAGTTGCTATAGTAAATACATAAATAAAAACTTATACCAAAGAGTATAGAACTACAAGAGGTCCTGATTTTTAATGCACATAATGAAAATTCAAATACAGTTCGAAACGTGCCGTTTGAAGGACGCCGAATTCGTGTAGTACTTTTTGAATTAAGATTACGTTCCACCGAAAACAAGGGGGTACTCAAATATGAAATTACTTTTAAAATTCTGATAAATGAACTTCATTGTATAATGGATTTTTATATTAATTATCGTTATTATTATTGATTGTTGTTATATTATATTAAATGTTTTATATTTTTATTTAGATTATTATGGTGATGCACTTTACAGTATGGTCCCATCTTTCTTGAATACCACCATCGCCATCAGCCTGAGGAATGAGACTGCTACAATGGAGGAGGACATTAAACCACTTCGTCTTCTTGGATACGTCAACGTCACGTACCCCAACCCACTGAATCTTCACGAACAACAAAGTATCAGTGTTGTAGCTAAAATTGCGAATGATACAATTTATGAGGATAATGAACACAGCTACTGGCTGCATTTCAACACATCCGTACCACATCTTCAGGTAAGCCAATGCGGTAGTGCTTTTCCTGAGAAAGTACCATGATTAATTATATTTGAACTATTGTATTTTACTTTTCTTCTTTTGAAGGCCTAATAAAAAATGTCAGATTGATGAATTAGTTATTATTTTGGTTGATTAATTGGTTGGTTAATTGATTATTATTATTATTGATTTATTGATCACTCCATTGGTTCATTTCATGATTGATTGATTTCTTGATAAATTAATTGATTTCTTTTGATTTTGATTAGTTATGATTTAATACTTGATTAATTAATTACCTAATTTATTTACTTATTGAGTGTTTATAATTACTTAATTGAGGGATTGATTGATTTAACTGATTGATAGAATGAATGAATGATTGAACTGAATAATTCATGGGTTGAACTGACTTATTAATTTGTTTCTTGCTTGATCAATCGATTGGTTAAATTATTATTTAATCAAATATTATTTTATTGATTAATGTACATTTATTTTTTTTATGTCTATTCAGATTGGCATAATGAATGTACTATTTCAATTCAGTTGTATGAGATTTGATATAACTTTTAGAAATGATCATAATGTGTATAAATGCTTTTATTTGTGAAAGCCAACAGATTTAATTATGTAAGCAAAGATCGGGTGGTGTGCTAAAGACTTTGATAATTACAATTCTGAGTGCATGCTGTATTTATTACCTTAAGCAATTATTTTCATATCAGTTTGAAACAAGCTATCTGGCTGAAATCGTGAAGGGACAAGATGGTGTGGCATTTGGCCACAACTTTACTTTTGCGGACAAGAAAAGAGTACAGAATTGGAGCTTCGGTACCTTTGCCAACTGGATGCCACTTACTACGAATGTAACATGGGTCTCTAAGGTTTCAACCCCAGTTCTAAACATCAGCTATGACCATGTTCAATTTAAGAATGATGGTGGGTTCCAGTTGATCTTCAACGATACTGTTAACAACACTTTGACAAACTTCCTGAACCACACAGTTTACGGTATGTCTTTAAAAAATATTCGCTAATTTATTTGAAAATAAATACTTCAAAGTTGTTTAATTTGAATAGCTATTGAAATCAATCTTTTCTAACACTGTGTTATTTCCTACCTTTTTAGGACACTTTGAACTAAAACCAGAATTCATTTCTCTGAATGCTACTCTCTGGACAAAGATGTTGCAAATAAATGGCACCCATGTTTTGAGGAAGCAAGGACCAATTGTAGACTTCTCGTTGGAAAGTGTCCAGGACCGAGTTAGGTCTATGTATACTAAGGTTCGTGAAATGAATTTCAGAGCCCTCTACGAGGAAACCAAAGATGTGTCAAAGAAAATGATTGATTCCAGCTTCCATCTAACCAACGCCATCAACATCCAAACCCCAAGTGTTGCCAACATGACTTTTAACCACACGATGGGATTTGGAATTACAGGCTTAAATGATACTGTCAAGGTCAACGTAACTTGTGAAAAGTCAGGTCTTGGAGCCAACCTATTTACCAACTTCGCCTTAAACAAAACCAGCCTGAACACCTTGATTGTTGCTGAGAGCAAAAGCCCAATTCATTTGATGCAAGGAAACACATCTGTTGTACTGTTTAAGAGTGCACCAATGGAAATTGGTCTCGAGAGCTCATCACACATGGGCCTTAAATCTTCAAAGGGAAATGTCAGCCTTAATGGTACATTCTTCATTAACAACATGAAAAACCCATGGAGCTTCAAATCTGTCAACGGAACCCTGAAGTACAATATTTCATCTCCCATCTTTGGTGCCCAGCTGAACAGCACTGCGGTTCTGAGAAACTTTATCTCTCCCTTCCAATTTGAAAATATTACCGGCGCTATCACTCATAACCTCACTTCCAAGCTTGCCACATTGAATTCAGAGATGTCCCTTCTGTTGAATGATTTCATGTCTGTCTTCAACTTCACCAAGGTCAAAGGAGCCATGATGCATAACCTAACTTCTAAATGGGCCAATGCCTCTTCAGTATCTGATATTATTTTCCATGACTTCTCATCTCTGGTCAACTTTGTAGAAGTTAATGCTACTTCTGTGAACCAGATTGTCTCTAAGAATATCAACTTCAGTGGTAATGCAGCAGCTGTTCTAAGAAATTTCAAATCTGCCTTCAACTTCGAATTGGTGAATACAACAATGAATCATAACGTGTCCACAAATATTGGTAACATCACCCAAAACAGCAAAGTTATTTTATCTTCGTTTACAGATATACTTAGCTTTATTGAAGCAAATGCTACAACCGTCACCAAAGTGTCTTCTAAGTGGGTAAATGCCAACTCTTCCATGGACTTGATTGTTAAAAATGTACAGTCCCTATTCAACTTCAGCCTTGTAAATGGCACAATGAACCATAACGTAGTGAGTAAACTGGCCAATCTTACTTCAGTCAGTCAAGTTACTATGTCTGACTCTATTAATATGTGGGAATTCGATGAATTCAAGGCAAACACCAGTAACAAGCTTGCCTCCCGTTTGACAAATGTCAGTTCAGATATGGCACTGGTTTTGAAGAATTTCAGCTCCATCGTCAACTTTAGCTTAGTAACTGGCAATATGACACACTCAGTCGATTCCTACCTTGGCAGTCTTGATTCAAAGAGTCAACTGAACTTGGTTAACTTCACCAACCTTTTCCGTTTTGAGCATGTCAACGCAACTACGAAGACCAACATCACCTCACGATTGGCTAACATGACATCTGATATGTTGTTGTTGATGAAGAACTTCAGTTCTCCATTAGTATTTGAAGAGATTAATGGTACCGCAACAAACAATCTATCGTCAAGATGGGTGAATGTTGACTCTGAAATGAAATTGATCTTTGAGGACTTCTCCTCGCTGTTTAACTTCAGAAAGGTGAATTCAACTATGGTCCACAAGTTGCTTTCAAAATGGGTTAATGCTACATCAGTAAGTGGCATGACAATGCACAACTTTACTTCACCAGTCAGCTTCACTGAAGCTAACTTCACTAGCCATAACAACATCACATCTCGTGTTGCGAATCTAACAACAGAGACAGACCTTCACCTTCATGAATTTACATCCCTTTTCAACTTTAGAAAGATGGCAGGAAGCATGAAAAGCATCGCTTTTTCCAAGTGGCTGAATGCCACATCTGAGAGCTCTGTTCGTTTCAGCAATCACAGTTGTCTTTTCAAATTCGATGAAATCAAAGCAACCACCAACCAAAACGTTAGCTCTCCAGTTACCAACTTGACATTTAATACTTTATTGCATCTGCAAAACTTTAGGTCTATCTTCAACTTTGACAAGATTACAGGCGTGATAAAGCACCGTTTCGATTCCAGATATTTGAATGCTACATCAATTAGCTCTGGAATTGTCAGTAACCATACAAACTTGTTTACCTTTGAAGAAATTAATGTCACTACCACTGACATTGTGAATTCCCGTTGGGTTAACCTTACCGCTGATTCGGTATTACGTCTGCAAAACTTCCGGTCTATTTTCAACTTTTCGAAAGTAAATAGAACGGTTGTATACAATTTCTTATCGAGATACCTCAATCTCACCTCAAACAGTTCTGGTATCATCAGTAACCATGTTGGGTTGTTCAGATTTGAGGAAATCAGTGGCACAAGCTCAAACGTGATTTACTCCGGGTATACTAACCTAACATCTGATGTTGTTCTAAAATTGCAAAACTTCAGCTCAATTTTCAATTTTACCAAGGTACATGGAACTGCCGATCACAAAATAGACAGCAAATTAGTAAACGCTACTTCAAATAGTAGTATGATCTTCCACAACTTCACTTCTCTATTCAACTTCTCTGAAGTGAACACTACATCCTTGAACACAGTTAACTCAAGCATAGTGAATCTTACTTCTGAAGTTGCTGCTAAACTAAAGAACTTTAGGTCAATATTTAATTTTGACGTCATCAGTGGACTTACCCGCCAGAGTCTTCGCTCAAGGCACGTAAACGTTACTACCAATAACACCATGATTGTCAATAACCATGAGGCTCTGTTTAAATTTGAAGAAATAAATGCATCCATTGCCAACAATCTTACAGTGATGTCGACAAACCTTACATCTTCAGCGCTTATGCGTCTTGAAAACTTCCGATCAATATTTTGCTTTGTCAAATCTGCTGTTTCTGGTAACATCACTCTTGCATCTAAGATAGCTAATGCAACTTCAACCAACACTTTTATTGTAAATCAACACCATAAGCTATTCAATTTTGATGACATCAGTGCCATCACAGACAGCAGAGTGAAGATGCTCTCAACTAATCTGACATCCAGAATGTTCTTTGGACTAAACAAATTTAAATCTATCTTCAGCTTCAACAAGATCATGAGTGGCAGCAACATCATCATTGAATCAAGATTACTGAATGGGACATCCAACAGTTCCATGGTGGTATCTAACCATCCTTCCTTGTTTGTATTTGATGAAGCTAATGTAACAACTTCTAACAAAATAGAATTTTTTTCCACCATGTTGGATTCTGATATGTTATTACAAATGAACAAATCTAGATCTTTCCTCAATTTCAAGAACTTTTTGACTGCGGCTAACCATGGTCTTAAATCCCAGTGGATCAACGCCACATCCAATAGCTCAATGCAGATTGAGGACCACAGACGACTTTTTGCTTTTAATGGTGCTACTGCAGAAACTGTCAACAAAATTAACTCATCCTTGATGAATGTCACTTCTGAGGCTGTTATACGTCTTACAGATTTCAACAAAGTGTACAAGTTTGAAAAAGTGAATGGAACCATGAGACACATTGTTTCTACACCAATCCTCAACATCTCCTCTGAAAGTGTTGTCATTCTTAGCAAATTCAAATACCTTTTCAAATTCGACGAAGCCAATGCAACTACCTCAAATAGGATTTCATCCTATCTTGGCAATGTAACAACCTTTGCTGGATGGAGAAGAAGAGACTCTGATAGTATGTTTAAATTCGACCACATGAATACTACCATGACCATGAATGTATCTCTTCCAGTGTTTGTTGTAGCCACCAATGCTACCACAGATTTCGTCAACTTCAGAGGCATTTTCGACTTTGATAAGGTCAATGGATCTTCGAACCTTATATGGGACAAGTGTTCTTTCATGAACAGCACCGGTAGAGCAGAATTTGCGATGAATGATTTCCATAGCCTTTTTAACTTTACTAAGGCTAATACTTCAGTTTATTACAGCACAAAAACCAAAATTGGCCAATTTACCTCTCTTACTCGTGGTGGTCTAAGTGGGTTCCGAACACCTTTCAAGTTCAACCGTGTTTGTATGGATACTAAAAATATTCTTACCACTCCATTAGTTGTGTTCCACCAAGAGACTGGATTAACATTGACAAATTCCACAAAGTTCCTCAAATTTGATCGTTTCAATGTTACAGGCAGGTTCAACCTGAATTCCAGTCTTGTCAACCTTACAAGTCTTGATACTTTTGCAGTCCAGAACATGTCTAGCCTTCTTAATTTCTCCCAAATCACCATGAACAGGCAATACGATGTGAAGAGCTGTCTAACTAACATCACTTTGAAAGATGGAATTGAACTGCACAATTTCACCAGTCTGTTTAATTTCTCAAGAATTAATACAACTATGGACTACAGAGTTGTAACTCCATTTACTAATGCTAGCTGGATTAGTGCTGTAGAGTTGAAGAACTTCACCAGCTTTTTGAACTTCAGTCTCATCAATGCAAACGCGACTGTCAACTTGTCTTCAAATCTTGCCACTTTTGATCACTTCAGCGGTTTGACTTTACACAACTTTTCCGGCAGCGTGCTTAGGTTCAGGCTGATCAATGGAAACATGAGGAACCAGATCAAGACACAATTGGCAAATCTATCCACCGAATCTACCGTCACCCTAACGAACTTTAGTTCGTTCTTCAACTTTGAGAATGCGAATGCCAGAATGTCTTACAACCTCTCCACTCCTGTTGTCAACAGCACTCTGGAAACTAAGACGGATCTATTCAACTTCATCAGCTGGAAAGACTTTAGCCACATTAACATTAGTCACAACTTCACCTTTGTGACAAAGATGATTAACACTACTGCAACAAACACAATGCACATGATCAAGTGGACTGCATACCAACAAAAACTCTCTGTCAACGTCTCCAGCCCAGTAGCAGAAATGTTACTTTTACAGACAAGCGACAACCAATCTGTATACATCACAGTTTCATCACCAAAACATGGCTCATTGTTTTTCCTCGGAAAGATAAGTGATGATGGCAAACTGATGAACATGACAGTCTATCACATGACAACCGTAAGTTATAAGTTAGTTTATGTAAAGCATTTTTCTAGATGGGAATCGGTTGGGTCGTTATTTATTCCCTAACAGCAAATGAATTGTTAGTTAAAATACTCTGTTTTTTTAAACCTTTGTTTTAATAATATATATATTTTTAGGTTGACAAGTTGAACGTGACGGACCTACAGTGGCTATTGATGTTAAACCAAAGCAATGTCATCTACAGCAACTTTAGCTGGAACCCAGCTTTAGTTGATGGTGCTTTTAACCTTACCAATGATCTTATTGTTACCGCCGTCAACATCACCATGACAGCTGTTAATCAGACTAAGAACTACACACACCATGTTGTCAATGTCACCAGGACCTATATAGACGAACAAGTCCGCAGACTGAACGAAACTTATCAGAACATTGATGTTATCACCGCTGACCTTATTGTACGAGTCCGTGAGGAGACCAACAAGACTATTCTAAAGGTGAAAGATTATGCTATTCAGCAGTGGAGAAATGCTAAGGAATTCGATTATGACGATCTCTGGTTTAGGACCGTTGAAGAATACAAACGAGTAAAGAAAGATTTGAAAGAGAAGTATGCTGAACTCAAGATAGAATACAACAACATGAAGACTAAGGCACTTGAAAAATATGAAGATCTTAAAGAAAAGACCAAAGAACTAGTAGTTAAGATTAAAGAAATTCTCAAAAACGAGGAGCACCTGATCAACCGTCTTCCAATGAGGTTTGTCAATTTCAAAATATATTAAATCAAATACTGACTGGTATTGCTGGCTAATGTGTCGACGTGACCACCATAGATTCTGTCTGCCGAAGGAAAAAAAATTATTATATCACCGATTATAAAGATCTAGTTGTGCAAATTGGGGTCATTATAAAGAACATTTAATTAACTATTGTTTTAATAAGATAATTATTTAACGTATGATTTAAATTCTAGTCAATTGATATTGTATGGCTAAAATGCAAATCTGTTAATATGCCATAATACAGTACCGTACATCATATTTCACTAAATGAGAATTAATGTATTTACTTGGTTCTTGTAGGTATTTCGAGAAGACCATCTTTGAGATCATCCAGGTTATTACGAATTACAATGAAATAATTGCGAAGATTGAGACAATATTGAAGGACAAAGATCATCTAATCAACCGCCTTCCAATGAGGTATCACTTTCTTTCTTAAGCAAATGATGGTTTTTTGAATTGTGCATAATATTAATACATATCTCTCAATACGCCTCGACACATTAAGCACTTTAAAAACTTGATCTCAAGATTTTATAAAATGTGTTATATAAATACCGATCATTAATTATTTATATTTAACTAATTTTAACTGGATCTTTGCAGGTATTTCAAAAAGTCTATATATGAGATCATCCAAAGTTCGAAGAAGCTCATTGAGAAGAAAATGAAAAAGTTGCAGGAAGAAGTCAAGGTACTAAAAACGAAGGCCCTAGAGAAGACTAAAATCTACATTGCCTACCTCAAAGACAAGTATACGGAATTAAAAAAGATGTATGATGAATTCGACCGAGAGGAGTTTGTAGCACGTGTAAGAGAGATTGTAGATGAACTTTCTGTTAAAGCCCGTGACCTGTATAAGAAGGTTTTAAAGAAAGCCACACGTGTTATTGAAGACGCAAAGGAAAAACTCGACATTGCCATTGATGAAGCAAAGGTGAAACTTGAAAAAGTAATTGATGAAGTTGTAGAAATGTCCAAAAACGAATCCAACACCGTCAACAGCTTGACCCTCAGATACTTGAACCGCACTGTCTACACCATTGCTCAAGAACTTGTTGCTATCTACAAAGATCAATATGCTGCAGCTATGGTAAAGTTTGACATATACAAGGAAAAAGCAGAAGAATTGCTGGTTAAGCTTATTGATGAGACTGTTGTCATGTCACTAAACGAGTCTTTACTTATCAACAAGTATGCTTTGAAATATACTGGCCGCAATATTAACCAAGTAAGATATATTTCCATTCCTCTTATGTATATTTATAGATCCCTGTTTTGATTTAAAATAATAGATTACTTAACCAATTTGACAAGTGTATGAATTGCAACTGAATATATTTAATCTGCAAATCGAAGGTTACGTTGAGAGTCAAAAAGAAAATACATACCATAGGCCTATAAGTGACATTACCATAAAATTTTATGAATTAATTTTTTTTAAATTTTGTATCGTTAGATGTTTATTTATTTATTTAACCATATATCTTGTTTGTAGCTTGTGAAGGAAAGCATTGAAAACCTGACTAAACTTGTCGAACAGATGAACGAGACGGCATTGGAAATGTACCAAGATGCCAAGGTTAAGTATGTCGATTACAAAGCCAAGGCATTGGAAATGTACGAAGAGTACAAATTAAAGGCAACGGAGAAGTACGATGAATACAAGATCAAGGCAGTCGAAAAGTACAAAGAGCTCCGTGAGCGTCTCCAGGAATTATACGAGGCATTGAAGATTAAATGTCAGGAATATTACGACTATGCACAGAATAAAACCCTTGAATTGAAAGAAAAGTTGAGTGAATTAAAGGAGAAATTTAAGAACCAGCCACTAAACACATCTGTCAGGGAAACCATGGAATATGTTGAAGAAGTTGCAGAGAAGCTTAGGGTCAAAGTTGATGAGTTGACTACTGAGATGATCCAGTTCTACGAAGAAAACATCACTGAAGAAAACATTCTGAAATTCAGAAGAGATGCAGAGAAATACATCGAGGAAACAATTCAACCACTCATAAGCAAACTCGAAAATATCACCGAAGATGTTTCAATGAAGACAATGAAAGTTCTTGAAAATCAGGGAGTCCTGGAACTTACTGGAAAGTTTGTAGAGAAGACCCGTGAATATTTAAATGCTACTCGTGCGTTAAACATGAAGGCTATACAGTCTGCTCAAACAGCCATTAATATCTCTCGAGAAAGTGTAGAATCATTCATTGAATACCTCAACAACACTTTGCCAGGTAAACAATTTGGATTATAATAAAATTTATAGAGTACTTTGTCGTTATGTCACAGTACCCTGTGACGCTGCTTTGTTACAACCAAGCAGCTGTTACAGTACAGCTGCTCTAACAATAGGATACGATTTCAAAAGCGTATCAAATCCTAATCATTTCCGTATAAAAACATGAAAGCCTACTATTTCATTTTATTTGTTTTTTAAATTTATTTTGTCACCCGTCAAACAATTCGAAAAACATCATTATACACACAAGTATACCCTTTGTAAAAGAATAAACGAAATGCAAACTTACTATTTTTTCTCCCCCGCCCGCACCCCCGTGAGGAGTAAGGCATCAACATGAATAAACTCATAAGAACATAAAAAACCAATGATATTTGATTTCAATATGATATACTGGTAGTTAGTAATGAAGGATAATGAACTTAATTATTGTTGATTTTATGCCACTTGGTTACAGTATACATATTATTACCAATAATAAATATTCGGTTTCTTTTTTAGGATGGATTTACAGATACTATGAAATTAACCAGATTCCACGTCGTGTATGGGATACTGCTGTTGAAGTTGCTCAAGTAAAGATGGAACAGATTCCTGTGTTGATTCGTATGACCCCAGAACTCACCCTCAACCTTACCCGCTCTACAATAAGCTATAGCTTGAACAGCATTGGACAAGTTGGGGAGCACAGCTTTTCCATGAACATCTCTCATCCACTCAACTATACCAGCTTCTACAAGGCACCGACATTTACCAACAAGCAGTGGGATATGATTTTCAGGGCACAGAATAAAACTAAAGAGGCCATCAACCAGGTTATTTTGTACTACAATGAAACACGACAATACTTTAACGAAACATATCCACTTCTCATTGAATGGGTCAAGGAACAAGAACCTATCCTCCGTGAAAAATATGAAAAGATTCGTGACAAAGTAGAGATTCTTCGTGACCAGGCTATTGAAAAGTATGATGAATGGAAGCTAAAAACACAGACGAAATATGATGAATTGAAAGTGAAGGTAGACGAAATGATAAAAGAAACCAAAGTAAAGTATGAAGAAATAAAAGAAAAAGCTAAGTTAAAGTACAATGAGATAAAGGAAAAGGTTGAGTTGAAGTACAAAGAGTATTATCCAAAAGTTGTTGAAGAATGCAAGAGAATTTATGGTGTGGTCCGCAAGGAACTTCCTAACTGGAGGACACACCTAAAAACTGCTTACAACGTCACCAAAGAAGAACTGAAGATCCTACAAGAATTGTTTGTTGAAGAATGCAAGCGAATCTCAACTGAGGCTGGTGTTAAATACGAACAACTTCAAGACAAGTACAATGAACTCAAACCTGTCGTTAAGGACAAAGTCAGCGAAATCATGAAGGCTGTCAAAACCAAGCTTGAAAAGTTAAAATTGAAATTAAAGGATAACTACAAGAAACTGATTGCTCTTATCAGGAAGGAATTTCCAAACTGGAGGGAACATCTTAACAAGCTTACCGACAAAATGTATCTGAAGTTTGATGAGTTGATCGTCAAGGCTATTGAATTGATTGAAAAGATCAAGGAAAAGATTCCAGAAATTGAGGAAAAATTGGACGAATTGGTGTCTCGAGTAAAGGCTCTTACACCAGACTACATCAAAAATAACCTACATGAAATTATTGAGTACATCAAGGAAGCTATCAAGTACTTGGAAGAAAAGATCCAAAACATTGAGTATCCTCAACTACCAAGCCTCCCAGCATTCACCGACATCATTCCACCATTCCAAAGTAAGTAGCTCTGATTTTTACCTACTTAATAAACTTTACTTTAGCCAGGTGTTACTTTAATTTTTTTTTACTCACTAATAAGTTAATTCATGATACCATTTTTCCAGATTCTAAGTTGCAATGGTTTTTTTCTTGTGCTTTTTTCTAGGCACTGGCATGATCTTTGGACCACTTCACGTATACACATTCGACCAAAAAAGATACGAGTTTCCAGGATACAAAGGAGATGGATGCACATACGTTTTAGCAAGTGACTTTGTGGACCGCAACTTCACCATCGTCAGCACACAAGATACAGTTACACTCCTCATCCAGGAGATGAGCATCAAAGTCAACAGCGAAAATAAGGTGCAGATAAATGGAAGAAATGAGATTCAAGAGCTACCATACCAGTCATCTGGTAAAGAAGTTACGATTGTTAGAAATGGACAATGGGTAGAAATTTCCACAACTTATGGTCTTGACATTAAATGTGACGCTATGTATGCAATCTGTCTTTTCAACGCTAGCCACTGGTACTACAACAAGACGCTTGGCCTCCTCGGAACTTTAAACGAAGAAAAACATTTTGATATGCGCAAACCAGATGGTAACGTCGCCCGTGATCTTACTGACTTTGCCAACTCATATGAAGTAAGTGGATCTACTAAATGCAAGATCATACCAAGCCGTGATGAAATCTTCAGCCAAGGTCCAAGAGATTGCACCGCAGAACCAAGCCGACAGTGTAAATTCCTTTTTACTGATCAGGACTCTCCATTCGCCAAATGCTTCGATACAGTCAACGTCACTGAATTTATAACACTCTGCGAAGAGGAAACTAAGTGTTATCCACAACTTGATGAGGCTATCTGCAATGCAACTGTTTCATATGTTGAAATGTGCCGCAGCCGTGGTAGACACATTGAGCATGCTCAGAAATGCAGTAAGTTTCTTTAAAAAAAAACAGATTGGAACTAATATTCAAGTACTGTATATACAAATATGAAGGAGAATTACCTATCACCATTTTTGACAACTAAGGTGATCTTTCGTGAATCCTATATATCATATTTCGATTGGAGTTAAAAAAATATATGCCCTTTTAACATTTAAATCTCTGTGGTAATTAATGAAACCTTATGGTAATGGCAATTGACAATGTAGTACTAACTTTTTAAAAAATCTTTTTAAACTGCATCTTTTCTTCTATGTCTGAATCACCCACCATTTTATGAGATTTGCTGATATTTGTTTTTAACTAGCAATGGACTGATATGTTGTTATTCTATCAAATTTAGACAAGTGTGGTGACAAGGTCATTGGCGAAATCTGGGAAACGAAGAGCACCCGCTCTGCTGACATCGTCATGATTGTCTCAGAAAACAGAAGAATGGTAGAAAATCACGACATTGTCCAGGCGCTTACACAGATCGTTGAAACGACAGACAAAACCTTGAAGAAAGCCAGCATCAATGACAACAGATTTTCACTTGTAGCTTTCGGTGGAGCCGATATTCACAAAAACGCTCATCAGCATACCATCAATGGAAAGACCTTTGCTAGCTCTTCCGATTTCATCAGTGGGGCACAGGGCCTGGCATTCTTTGGTGATTATGAGACTGAGAGTTTGGAAGCCCTGAAACTTGCCACAGAGCTTGAACTTCGTGAAGAAGCCACCAAGATCTTTATTCTGGTCGTTGAAGAGGAGACTGAAGTAAGTTTTTGCAGAAATTAACTTAGGCTTAAGTTGGAAGAAACCATGTACTAATATATTCTGAATTGATGATTGTGAACGTGAGAATGATATTTCTAAAAAGTAGGGAGCACGAAAAAGGAAAAAATTAATATGTAACTTTAAATGACTAATGATGTAAACTCTTGACATATTTAGGCTGAGATTGAAGAGCAGTTGTTCATCCAATCGCTTCTGGAAAAGAATGGTATCACCCTCAATGTCATCTCATCATACGAAATCTTAAAGAAGACAAAGACAAGCAAGAACATCGTTGGAATTAACTGGGATGGCCGAGCCATTATGACATCCAAGTCCGAAAAAGACATCTCCACCAAGCTAGATATACCGAGAGGCAGTTATGCCAAACTGGCCAAGGCATCCAAGGGTAAGTCTCAATTGACGAATCATCTGATTTATTAACATATTTCACATTTGTGTTTTGCTTTTAACAGAACATTGGTAATACAGGCTGTATATATGATATAAAATTATGTATTATATTATATATATTTATATATGTCTATTGAATGGAGTTAGCCGTTAACACTGTTGAATAAATTTAATATAAATCATCAAAGGTACATATACACAGAGCACTGTATATGTACCTTTGATGATTTATATTATATATATGTCTATATATATCTGTCTCTTATATGTTTCACAAACTTTTTGCACAGGAATGTACAGGAATGTAAAGGGTGAAGTTGGAGAATGGAATGTAAATTGTGAAGTTTGAGAATGGAATGTAGATATTGTTATCTCTATGAACAAATATGGGAACAACATAAAAAAAATTAAATATTGCTCTTTTAAGTAAGAGAAAATGTTTCTGTTGTTTCACAAACTTTTTGCACAGGAATGTACAGGAATGTAAAGGGTGAAGTTGGAGAATGGAATGTAAATTGTGAAGTTTGAGAATGGAATGTAGATATTGTTATCTCTATGAACAAATATGGGAACAACATAAAAAAAATTAAATATTGCTCTTTTAAGTAAGAGAAAATGTTTCTGTTGTTTCACAAACTTTTTGCACAGGAATGTACAGGAATGTAAAGGGTGAAGTTGGAGAATGGAATGTAAATTGTGAAGTTTGAGAATGGAATGTAGATATTGTTATCTCTATGAACAAATATGGGAACAACATAAAAAAAATTAAATATTGCTCTTTTAAGTAAGAGAAAATGTTTCTGTTGTTTCACAAACTTTTTGCACAGGAATGTACAGGAATGTAAAGGGTGAAGTTGGAGAATGGAATGTAAATTGTGAAGTTTGAGAATGGAATGTAGATATTGTTATCTCTATGAACAAATATGGGAACAACATAAAAAAAATTAAATATTGCTCTTTTAAGTAAGAGAAAATGTTTCTGTTGTTTCACAAACTTTTTGCACAGGAATGTACAGGAATGTAAAGGGTGAAGTTGGAGAATGGAATGTAAATTGTGAAGTTTGAGAATGGAATGTAGATATTGTTATCTCTATGAACAAATATGGGAACAACATAAAAAAAATTAAATATTGCTCTTTTAAGTAAGAGAAAATGTTTCTGTTGTTTCACAAACTTTTTGCACAGGAATGTACAGGAATGTAAAGGGTGAAGTTGGAGAATGGAATGTAAATTGTGAAGTTTGAGAATGGAATGTAGATATTGTTATCTCTATGAACAAATATGGGAACAACATAAAAAAAATTAAATATTGCTCTTTTAAGTAAGAGAAAATGTTTCTGTTGTTTCACAAACTTTTTGCACAGGAATGTACAGGAATGTAAAGGGTGAAGTTGGAGAATGGAATGTAAATTGTGAAGTTTGAGAATGGAATGTAGATATTGTTATCTCTATGAACAAATATGGGAACAACATAAAAATATTAAATATTGCTTTTTTAAGTAAGAGAAAATGTTTCTGTTGTTCCACAAATTTTTTGCACAGGAAGGCCACTTATACAGTGGATATCGAAAGAATTATACAGATTTACAAAAGAACCCCCCCTCAGAACTGTCAATGTACCAGTACAATAGAAACATTTGTTTATTACTGCATCAAAAAATAGCCAAGCAATACTGTAGAGCCTCAATTAGAAGCCCCATGGGCTTAAGCTTGAGAAGAAGCCGATTACCCCTTTTCAGCTTGCAAAAGTAATTTCAAAAAGAAGCCCATGGGCTTCTAGCTGTCTCTTATACACATCTAGATGTGTATAAGAGACAGTATATATACTGTGTATCTTGAGGAAAATGCAATGATCGTTTTTTCCTTCATTACGTCCAAGTTAAATCTGTCACTCACATTGCGTCACATTGTCTGAAAATTTTCATTTCTATTAGAGTAATAATAATAATGATTTTAATAATAATGTGCGTCACATTTATTATTCAATACAGTAGGCCTACATAATAGGAACACACAAGTATCACCTTTTACCTATATAACGTTAGTTAAAATCCCCTACATTACTCACAAAATATCTTTCAACTTTCACCTAGATTTCATCACACTAAATCTGTCATCTTATTAGGCCTAGGTCACATTCAACCTGTAGCCTTTCACCTTATTATGTGTTTGTTTACTCATTTTAACTTTCACCTACATCCAAAGAAGCCGATACACGTTACAGCTAATCCTTATTCTAGTAATGATTGCTTGTTATGCCATGAGTTTTGGTAGCGTTAGTTGATTTTATTTTTTTATCCCACTAGAGTCATTATTGTAATATCATTAAGTTACATTGAATAATAGCTAAGCCTAATAGAATTAGCAGAAAAAAAAACAATATCTGCTAGCATAGCAATTATAAAATAAGACATCATTCGAAATTTGATATATCAGAAACGTTTTCACGACAGCGACCTTGAAGTAACCATTACTAAGCATGTGCGTGCGTGAACCGCATTTCGGAATTTTTTTTTGCGGAAAAATTTAAATGTTATAACGGGTGTGAAGAAGGTCATGAAAATGTCGATTATAGAACTGTCTGCATTTACGGCATTGAGTGTGTGAACAGCAGGATTTCCTGAACTCTTATATCCAGAGGCTTTACATGGCATTTGAAACCTGTTCAGTCACCAAGAAAGTCGAAAATATATATTGCTTAGTACCGCATTGATATTGATAAACCCTATATAATCATAAAAAACTTTGTAGACCGACAAAAAATCTTGTCAGTATGGATCCGCTTGCATCGATGACATGGGAGTACGAAGGTATTATGATGCCGATAATGATAAATAGGGAATCGCTCGAATATGTCAAAAACAATTTCGAGGTTCGCGACGATGATGTTTGGCTGTGTACATATCCAAAATCAGGTAGGCCATTATTAAATATATAAATTTAATTTATTAAAATGAATAAACATGTCTGGAATGTTAGCAAAAGCAATCAAAAACAGTGCCAAGGATACGCGCTGGTCCCACACACACGTCAGGTGCCTATATAGGTGTAGGCCTATATATTTTACTGTGAACGCCAAAATTCAGACATAATTTGTGTTGATTTTGTGTTTATATAACTTTTTATAGGAGACGCATCCTTTCACATGAATAATTCCATTAATATTATTGTTCAATTACAATATTTTTAGGATAAAATCTTCATCTTAATTTCTGTATTTTTAACCAAAATTTAATTTAGACCGGACATCCTGAAAGTTAGGTAGCCTAACGATTGATTGGCTGATTATTTTTTTTTAATGATTTTTCTTTCTTTTAAAACAGGCACCCATTGGTTGATGCAGATTATACAACTATTAAAATTAGATGGTGACTACGAGAAATTAGTAGAGAAAGGTGTTAAAGACGTTAAACCATTGGAATTCGCTTTACCTTATCCAGGGGGTTTAAAATACGCTTATAAGTATTACGAACAGTTACCATCCCCCCGACTAGTTGTAACACATCTACCTTTCACACTTCTTCCAAAGCAAGTCTTTGAAAAGAAGGCAAAAGTAAGGGGTGGTCATCCTTAGTTGCAGCATTTTCATAAGAGTATAGGCCTACAAAACAGACGCTTTTCTATGACCCTCTTCCTCGCACTGAAAGATTACACAAATTGGGGGTTTTTTTTGTCATTTTGAGATCATAATTTCATGTTATTTATTAAAGAGAACTTAAACCTTCACTTTTAACTCCTCCTCCCTAAGCGTATGTCTTTTTACTCTTTTGCAAAATGTTGATAAGTATGGATGGCTCCCAAAATGACGGACTAAAAACGGCATTTTACAACCAGTAGCCAAAATGACCAATTTGCGTGTAAATACTAATAATAAACTTTTAACAAGTACAGTAATAAAAAGACAAAAGTAATGAGAATAACTTCAGGGAAATGACGAAAACGTACTGTACTTAAACGTGTGTAGTTTTTAAACATGCGCGTTCTGATTGGTTAGTGGTAAAGTCTAATTCATACAAATTACCGTACGAGATCGTTTGCCTAATTAGGCCTCATAACCGCTTGTTTATATCATTCCTTCAAGTCATAATGGTCTTGAGGCTTCCAGCTGAGTGTAGGGTGTATAACTTTAATTGCTCAGACTATTTTTTTACAGGTGATATACGTTGCCAGGAATCCAAAGGACACTGCTGTATCGATGTATTATTTCACAAAACCAACCTTTAAAACTAAGAATATCGAGTTAGAATGGAGTACATTTATCTACATGTTCATGTCAGGGAAAGGTTTGTGAAGCACACTCGATTTTGAATTACAAATACGCACGATTTATTTGATAAAATTTGTCTGAAACAATTGCGTAAGTCAAATGAAAATGTCTGTTCAGAACGCGGACTAACAAATACGTGTGACAACACGTACAATATTTTTTATTTGAATCTTGGAGACTTCAAAGTAGACAAATTACAGTGACTTTCCTTTAACGCATACCTGTGCTTAAGAAATTAATTAGGATGGTTTAGTGTCATCCAGAACATGTTCATTAACGAAAATAAACCACAATATTACCATCGAAAGAATTATTAATTGCTTAATTATTATATTGCACAGTGTATTTTTAGACGTAGCCTTTTGTAAACCTAGGCCTAGCCTATGATATGTCATTTGATAAGACGTACATTTAACTTGCAGCTCCATATGGACAATGGACATCGCACGTACTTCCTTTCTGGAATCATCGAAATGAAGACAATGTTATGTTTCTAAAGTTTGAAGACATCAAAAAGGTAGTTACACGCTTACATGCCAACGCAATCGTATTTTTTAGACTCCGTCATTGCTACTGCTACTGTCAGTTGTGGCGACAATCAACCCCTCCCCGCCTTTCCATCGGGGATCTGGCGCTCATTGACTACTTGAGCTACTCTTAATTGTAATTGTGATAATGGTACTAGAACATTTTTTTATAATTTATTTAAAGAATACAATTGAGAATGTTCGAAAAGTTGCAGTGTTCACCGGTTTGTCTACATCCGACACAGTTCTGCAGAAGACTGTCAAAAACTCATCGACTAAACATACAAGAGCAGTCATGGACGGTGAAAATAATGGAACCGACGCTACAAAACAGACCAATGTGGGAGCATTTGTGCGCAAAGGTAATATCTCAGTCAAAGCTGTGTGTTACCCAAGCCTGACTAATAAAAATTATGGTCAAATGTGCAGAGAGATTCAATTATGCACAAAATTTAATGGATTGAATATGCGTGATATTTAAGAAGGCCAGCTTTAGGATTTGTCCACATTATCACATTTTCTTTGAAATAAGTGTTCTCATAGTTACCAACCGTCTGTCATCGTGTGGGACGGTCCCGTATCTCAAAGTGAATTTGGATGAAACACGCATTTTGCAGAAACGCATGCGTGATCATAAGTTTGTCACGCATTTAGCACAAGTATATGAGTGATAACGAATTATCGCGAATTTAGTGGAAAATGCATTTAAAATTAGAAGGTGTTATTAAAAGCGGTCATGCAGTAGCTTCAGTCATTAGAGCTTTCGTTATCTCGTTCAAAAATCAATTTACAGAGAACATTTCTCTTTCCCAACTAAAACAACCCAGCCAACCATGCACTTAGAATCAGTAGTCGCGTGTGGTCTTGTGCGTTCCATTATCACAACCAACCGTTGATTATGTGACTGGGCTTCTAGAGTTCTGCCACTGACCCCAGGGGACCTGGTGTCCCCTTCCCACTCAACTAGTCACGCATTTCAAATCTCTCAGGTTGGTAACTATGAACTGTTCTATGCCAATAATTAATAATGATGTGGATATATGTGGTCATGATGTGATGTCATCATGAACAAATTTAGACATAAAGCTGTAATAATTAAATTTAATCCAATTACTACCGGTAAATTCAAATTTAAATTTGAGAATGCCATTTCCCGGCCATATAAAATGCCAGGGACATTAAATGTCCTTCCTTAGCCCCAACCACGGTGGGCTGACTATTCTGGTGGACCTTCCATCTGTAGAATTTCTGGATCCGGCACTGAAATGTCACTGCAACACACCACTAATTTTTACTTACGATGAGGATGATGATTATTATTATTATAATTTGTTCTCATTTTGTTGTAATATTAGTAGGCCTATTTTTAATTTTCATAAAGAGTAAACAATAGAAATTCTTCTATTTGCTTATTATTTAGGAGTTATTGGCGACTGGATGACGCATTTTACAGTGTCCCAGAGTCGAGAGTTTGATAAAACTCTCAACTATTACCTGAAAGAAACTGGACTAGAGATGGTGTTTGAATAGTTATTATCTAACAGTTTACAATGGTGTTGAAATTTTCGATATATGCGTTTGAAGAATCAAGAAAGGCGATATATAAGCCTAGTTATTAATTGGTTACGTTAGAAACATAATAATACGTCGTGTAGCATATCTCTTTATAAATGATGAATAAAGAAATTGTGTAATAAAATGTCTCTGACGGGATTCGAACCGGGACCTCTCGTTGTCAAGGCGAGCGTTATAACTATTAGACCTCAGAGGCTTCATGGTTGAACATATTTAAATTACCCCCAGATACAATCCATTACACAATAGGTACGTACAACTGGAAACAATAATTGCATATAATATAAATCAAGATAGCCGTTAACACTGTGAAATTATATATCAATCATCAAAGAAAGGTAAATACAGTGTTCGAATAAAGGACATAATAATACATCGTTAATCATAGCAAGCGTCATAACCATTAGACCACAGAAGCTTTATGGTTGAGCAGATTCAAATTAACTCCAGAAACACTACATTACACACGTACAACTGGAAACGCATAATTGCATATAATATAAATCAAGATAGCCGTTAACACTGTTAAATTCTATATAAATCATCAAAGAAAGTTAAATACATATAGGACATAATAATACACCTGTAGCATAGCTCTCAACGAATGTAGTCCTATAAATAAATGAATAATGAAAATGTGTAATAAAGTGCCTCTGAAGGGATTCGAACCTGCGAACTCTCGCTGTCAATGCGACCGTCATAACCATTAGACCACAGAGGCTTCATGGTTGAACAGATTCAAATTACCCCCAGATACACTCCATTACACAATATGTACGTATAGCTGGAAATTGCAAATAATATAAATCAAGATGGCCGTTAACACTGTTAGATTTATATATAATTTAACAATGTTAAATAAATATATATATATATATATTTAACATTGTTAACATACTGTCTCTTATACACATCTAGATGTGTATAAGAGACAGACACTGCTGTATCGATGTATTATTTCACAAAACCAACCTTTAAAACTAAGAATATCGAGTTAGAATGGAGTACATTTATCTCTATGTTCATGTCAGGGAAAGGTTTGTGAAGCACACTCGATTTTGAATTACAAATACGCACGATTTATTTGATAAGATTTGTCTGAAACAATTGCGTAAGTCAAATGAAAATGTCTGTTCAGAACGCGGACTAACAAATACGTGTGACAACACGTACAATATTTTTTATTTGAATCTTGGAGACTTCAAAATAGACAAATTACAGTGACTTTCCTTTAACGCATACCTGTGCTTAAGAAATTAATTAGGATGGTTTAGTGTCATCCAGAACATGTTCATTAACGAAAATAAACCACAATATTACCATCGAAAGAATTATTAATTGCTTAATTATTATATTGCACAGTGTATTTTTAGACGTAGCCTTTTGTAAACCTAGGCCTAGCCTATGATATGTCATTTGATAAGACGTACATTTAACTTGCAGCTCCATATGGACAATGGACATCGCACGTACTTCCTTTCTGGAATCATCGAAATGAAGACAATGTTATGTTTCTAAAGTTTGAAGACATCAAAAAGGTAGTTACACGCTTACATGCCAACGCAATCGTATTTTTTAGACTCCGTCATTGCTACTGCTACTGTCAGTTGTGGCGACAATCAACCCCTCCCCGCCTTTCCATCGGGGATCTGGCGCTCATTGACTACTTGAGCTACTCTTAATTGTAATTATATATGTACACTACACAAGAATAATAAATATAATAAAATATATTTTTAATAGTTGGATACAGATAAAATAATAAGTAGGCCTATTATTATTAATAAAAATATGATATGATAATATTAATGATAATAACAATAACAAACATATTTCGAAACATAGTGGAAAATACTTCTGCATCGTCGTCCTTCAAAGGACTGAACTCTAGAGAGATACACTCAGGCATAGCTACGAAGACGAAAGCTAGAAATTCATTGTCAACCCAAAACCAAGAACTTCGTTGCAATGTCGCCAATTCCTCCCAAGATTGATAAGATCATTAAAAATGTGCATAAATATATGACATTTTGTTTGTTACGCGTTAATAAACAAAATTGTTTTAAAAATGATGATCGAGTTGTGTCTTTGGTTTTTGAGTTCGTTTGAGTCATTTTCAAATTGCTTTACTTTTGAATTCCAATCTCGGAAAGAGTTTTTCTTGTAACTCTATATTTCCATAGTGTTATAGATAGGCCCAGAGCAATATGAACCATACTTACATGAATGTATTGTAATTAGTTTTGTTTAATTAGTGTCGTAGGTTCAAAGCGACCTGATGGATCTGGGGTTAGAGTACGGTATGTAGGCCTATCAGACAATTTTTTTAACAATGGCTAAGGTATAGGCCTATGACCCTACAGGCCGTCGGGATTTCTTTAATGGTTATTTTCACAACTAATTTGCTTATTTAATTTGTTTATGAATGCGGTGGCTAAAGTTTCGATTTAGCATGCGCTTTAAACTTTCAATTCACGTAAAATTGAAAAAAAAATTAAAAAATAATTGTCTCTACTACCAATGACTGCTAAGATATGAAAATCCTAGTTTTAAAAATCTATTTGCACTATAAAATAGTTTGCATTTGAATGGTTGCCAAGATACAGGAATCCAAATTCAAAATTAATTTGCAAATTTTATGCTAACGATATCAACTAAAAATGGTATTTTCAATCACTAATTAAACCACATGCCATAGAGTAAAGTTTTTTAAAAAGCCGCAACTCCTTCGAGATGTGGTTGCCAAAAAGAGCACTATACGCCCGGGGCAGATCCAAGGGCCGATATAGAGAAAACTAGGGGAGTGCGGCATGCGCGCGTCCAGCATACCCTAGGAAATTTTAGTTTTCTAGACCCCAGTACGGAGCCCCTAAAGGGACATGGTTTAAAAAAAAATTAATTATTTCGAGGGAACGAAATAATATTTCGTTCCCTCGAAATCATTTCATTCCCTCGACGGCATAATATTTGGAGGGAACGAAATATTATTTCGAGGGAACGAAATCATTTTGAGGAACGAAATAGTATTTCGTTTCCTCGAAATATTATTTCGTTCCCTCGAAATATTATTTCGTTCCCTCGAAATAGTTTAATATTTTCTTTAACCATGTCCCTTTAAAGGCTCGACCGTATACTATTCCATTTTTAAACTTTCCAAAAGGAGCCGGCCCGGTCCCCCCCTAAGTCCGCCCTCATGACTATAAATTTGCATATTTAAGCTAATTTTGCAAATGAAAAAAAAAATGACTCAAGCAAAAACTAAAGTGATATTACTGTATTTAACCCCCTTGTCTACGGCCATGATGATCAGTGTACGTTGAAAACATCTTTGGTAATTGCTCATGCAGAACGAAAACTTCTTTGAAGTGAGAAGGTCAACATTTACATTCAACAAAAGTAATGTAGGGCCTATGCTGTCGCGTCCCGTAGCAACGAACTCTGTTCACAATGCGAATGTCTAAACAGGTTGGTTACTGTATTCAAAATGATATACTTAGGGCTAGGCCTAATTATACTAAAGAATTAAACGTTGAAGATTTTATATTCAATTTTGGTTTATGTCCCTAGGCCCCAGTGTAGTTGTTTGGTAGTAGTACGCCTAGCTTAGGTAGGCTAGTAGTACGTACCCTTGGCCTACCGGCCAACCTAGCCCCTCCTGCCTACCAAGGCCTAGGCCTAGGCTTTTTCTACTTACTACATACCGTACTCGCGCGAATAAGCGCCCCCTAATTTGAATAAGATTTTCGGTGCTAATGCACTTCAGTACTGTAACACTTCTATCTTCAAAACTTGTCTTTTTACCTACTGTGTGCTCCTAACAATATCTTACGATGTTTCTTCATTCAGATTCTGCTTAATAACATCGGTTTTTAGCATTTTATTACTCTCTTATACACATTATTACTAAAAACCGCTGCCTATGGCTCCATCCGTCATCTCCAATGGCGAATTGGCGATCGAGCCTAATACCAAAGAGTATAAATAGAACAAGAGAGCAAAGTCCCGTTCGTAAAAACGGTTGTATATTCTTTTTATTACCCAGTGCAGCGCTGCGCAGCGCGGTAGAAGTACGCCCGTTATAAACTCAGTAAGCAGAAAACAAAAGTACAGTATCTTGTGGAGAACAGATAAACAGACAAACCGACCGTGTGCGGTGGAGTACTGGGTAATAAAACACATACAAACGTTAGTTGGCGTCCTACACTAGCTGCGTATGGGCGTATCGTTTTTTTATGCTCTCAATGAGCGTTGTTGGCTCTCTTGTTCTATTTATACTCTTTGCTAATACTGTTGCCAGAATTCAAACTTTATGATTTGGTGTTGCCAGAATTAGTAAATCAAAATGAAGCTTCAGATATTCAGAACTTATTGTAGAGCGCAAGACTCCACTACTGTCCAACAGTATGACAAGTTTTGGGTCTAAATGTAATAAAGGGTCTAAGTGTAATAATTCTTGGGTCTAAATGTAATAAATGTCCTATGTGTAATAATTTTTGAGTCTAAATGTAATAAAGGTTCTAAGAAGAAGGTCCTAAATGCAGTGTAATACTGGCCATGATTGACAAATGATTGATTGATTGTAATAATTTTTGGATCTAAATGTAATAGGGCCTACTGTACAGTTCTTATGTGTAATAATTTTAGGGTCTAGTGTAATAAAGGTTCTAAGTGTAATAAAGTTTCTAAGTGTAATAAGTTTTGGGTCTAAATGTAATAAAGTTCCTATGTGTAATAATTTTTGGGTCTAAATGTAATAAATGTTCTAAGTGTAATAATTTTTGGGTCTAAATGTAATAAATTTCCTATGTGTAATCATTTTTGTGTCTAAATGTAATAAAGGTTCTAAGTGTAATAAAGGTTCTAAGTGTAATAATTTTTGGGTCAAAATGTAATAAAGTGCTATGTGTGATAATTATTGTTTGTTCAAATGCGGTCATACTAATTACCGTCAACAGGGCCGCCAAGAGCGGCTGCAGGCCCCGGCATTTGTCAGCCGGGGGGGGGGGTAATGGACGAGGTCCCCGACGAGGGGTCAGATTTCCCCAACGAAAGCAAAGTGGACGTGGTCGACCATCGATTAAAAGGTTTCGAAAGTGGTCCTGGGGGGCGAATCCCCGGAATATTTTGACAATTTAGGAGTTTCAAAGGCTTATTTATTCGACTTTATAGTCTACTAATATGTAGAAAATACATATAATTTTTTTTTCTCTTTGACGAATTGTGCTTTTTCTCCCCGACGGAGAGGGGGAGCTCTCCCCGACGGAGGGCCCTACACCCTCCACCCCCGGCGCCACCCCTGGGCAGATCCTTGTTGCTTGTTGAAGATTGTTGAGGGCTGTGATGGTTGTTGACTAAAATGGTCCTAAAAGAATCGGTCACACAAAAACAATTTCTGATGGGAATTCGATGTGAATGCAGCTTTAGTATGTAATAGCTAAATTGTCCCTAAATGTAATATGTCATTATTAATATTGTACTGTACCAGAACAACGATATAAACAATACAGATAAAAATACAAATAACAATTTATGAAAAGGCATCGCTTTTAACAAAATGAAAAAAAAAAAAACCTGGCAACGAACAGAGCTGTCCTTCAAATTGGATAACAACCTGGCAATTAATTATTTATAAACAAACATCGCGAGTCGCTACCGTCATGAATCGCTGGGAAAGAACGTTGTTTTTAGCAATAAAATGCTAAAAACTGGTGTAATTAGTGAGAGAACTGGATGAAAAAGAATCTTAAGATATTGTTAGGAGCACACAGTAGGTAAAAAGACAATTTTTGAAGATAGAATTGTTACAGTACTAAAGTGCATTAGCGCCAGATTTTCTTTTTAGCAAGTCAATAATCCAATCAATCCTGGGACTGTGGTTGTTGGCATGATTTGAGATGTAGAGTGGAAAACTGACTGACTCATACTGACTGGAAACACATTCTTCTTCAGTCAATATCAAAATAAGGATATTATATTTCTCTTGGACAGATGAGAGCTCCGATCCCTGGACAGATGAGATCTACGATCCCTGGACAGACAGTATATTTCCAACTTTAATCTTTTTACATATTTGTCTATGTCTAGTCCTATTCCTCTTTTTCTTTTTTCGAAATTAAGCACATTCTCATCTGAGTTTTCAAGAAAAATACAATGATCCTGCCATCCTGCTAATCTCAATCGGNATGGCCAACAAGCTAACCACTACCCACCACTAATTGCATCTGCTATTTTGCTGTTATGTAAATATTCACGCATTCTTGTTATGAGCCATGTTCTCTGGACGATCTGCTTTTCTAACCACCATTCGTAATGTCCTTATAATCTTGTTTTCATTCAAAAAGTGCCTCTTGAACTTTTTATTATTAAAATAATTTCCCATAAGAACCCTCGATTTTCATCTATTTCGATAAGTGCCCCCTCAATTTTCACTCTGTTTTCATAAGGGCCCTTTTAAATAAGCGCCCCGTTTGAATAAGCGCCCCTCAGAAAGTGCAAAAAATATTTTAAGCGCCCTGGCGCTTATTCGCGCCCTGGCGCTTATTCGCGCGAGTACGGTACAGGCATACAGGGCGCAGGCTAGAACTACCCAGGGCCAACTCACTAAACTAGGCAATGCTGGGTTGGTAGGCCGATGGGTATATGCCAGGCCAGCTAATAAAACTTGGGCCTGTCTATAATAATAGTAACTTATAATTATGTTCTCGTCAACAGACCAATCAGAACAGTGCACACAAACTTTGTTGTCCGACTAGGCCTTTCACATTTAATGTGATTACTGGTTTACTGGTTTCCCCTAATAAATACTACGGGAGGACGAATGCATTCCGTCCAGGAATAAAAAAAACGTTTTTTGTCTGTTTGTTTAGCAACCATATTGCCTTCATTGACCTGCTTGTGTACTGTTTGTGTTAACTTTTCATCACAATAATAAAAAAACAACGACAATAATAATAATAATAATAATAATATAATAACATAAACTCTTATCTCATTATTCTTATTCGTAATTTTGTTGTTAATAATTCTCAATCACATGGATTATGAAAAACCTGGATTTCGCCATGATGGGAGGATAGTATTGTAATGTAATACGGTGGTCTTTTTTAATAATAGGCCTATAAAATGTAAAAAGGATTTGAAAATAAGTTAGTTGGTTACATTTCATACTCTTTGTTTCTCGTTGTTTTAATTTAAAAAAAAAAATTGGTTTTGGAATTTCGACATTAAAAAACATGAAGTCATTACGGTAGCTTGATGCCTATCAAATAACTAATAAAAATTTACCAAAATTCATCAAATATCCGTAGGTCCTAGGCGGCTCCCCCACCCCCCCAGCCAAGTGAGGCTCGCTTCGCTCGGCTAGCCTCCCCTGTCGGGGCCTTTAGCCCCACCCCCGTCGAGCAGATCCTGGCGCCATCACTGGATGATAGGCTATTATCAATTTGAAGCATTTATATCAATTTGAAGCATTTAACCATCCTATTTTACATTCACCAATTAAAATTTTATTTTTATTTTCTCCTCTGTCTGGATGATTTTGCTAACTATTTGCTAAACAAGAAAACAAAATTTTATTTTTATTTTTGTTCCGCCCTCGTCCGATAATCTTTAAAAAAATAAGTACGCAAAACAAAGAATAAAAAATATCTCGCCCTAGCTAGGCCTAGTATATTTACACTGATGTTTGGTAGGATCTTGGCAGCAATATTCAAGGAGGCTATAGGGAACATTATATTATTTTAACAATAATAATAATATTAATAATAATGTTAGATTTATATAGCGCTTAATGACAACAAAGCCTCTAAGTGCTTCACATTACTACACCTGGTCATTGGATTAAGCGCCTATAGAACACAAACTCGAGCTCCCTGGCGGAGTACTCCATAAAGTTGCAGCAGCTACAACAGCGCATTGTGGCATTTAACCCTACCAGGTACTCATTTATACTCCTGGGTGGAGAGAAGCAATGCAGATAAAGTGCCATGCCCAAGGACATAAGTGAAATGCACAGTGAGGGGATTGAAACCCCAACCTTGAGGTTGGGAAAGCAAACCATTCCCACTGCACCAAACCACAGTTTCTGATGAAAATTTCCATGTAGGCTTAGCCCTAGAGCCGCAGTAGAGGGAAGAGTAGTCATGCATGGTCTGGATTGCTGTTGTTGGTTGAAGTTTCTTAGATTTGTGTGTAGAGTGGTCATTTCTTTGAAGCTATCAAGGGAAACTGTATATCTACAGCTAGTTGCATACTTCAGTTGAGTGTGTAACCTAAGAATTAGCCTCGGCTGACATTCCAACAGCAGCAATGGTGCCAACATCGTAGGCAGCGCTGGCAGCAAAGTAAGAATAGCAAGCGTAACATTTTATCCCAGAAGATTTTTATCGAGCATTTTAATATTTTTAACTTGGTAAAAATCAATTTGCTTTTGGAAGGCACCTTATAAATGCCTTATATAGCCTAATTATAATAATGATAATTAGTCTTAAATATTATTATTTTTAACAGATTCTTCTCTCGAGGGCAAAGAGACGACTTAAGTTAGTGGAGTATATCGACCTTTCAGATTTAGAAATCGGTGAGTATTAAGGTGGTTTTCTTTGTGACCCAAAAAGTTTTGCCGTGAACAAATTTGTCTAATCGTGTCAGTATTTTCCACTACATGAGTGAAAAAGTTTGTGATGCATTTTTCACTGTGTTGTATGCAATGGTTGATATGTATATTCCTTGACTCGCTTCTGCGCTCATGGACGTGATAAAATGTTTTTTCCTAGCTTTGTTTTGCTTGGTATTATCTCGCAAAAGTAGAAACTGTTTGAACTTTACCAAAGTGAATTACCACAAGTCAAAAACCGAACAATCTGGTGAAGAACTTATGCATGAATACAACAATAACACATGGAAACCCAAACAACAAACACTAAAATTTAACTACTTAAAATAGCTTACTGCCAAAACTCTCAGTAAGTTTACATCAAATTGGTTTATTATCGACTAAACCGTTGATCATTATAAGCAGAAAAGATAAAAATTACATTAGCATTTAATGTGAACATAGACTCACCTCAGCAGCTGAATGCAATATTAGTGCTTTTAAAGTTGCTTTTTTTCTATTAAATCATTTGCGAGAGAAATGGGAAGAGTATTTTAATAATTTGAAAGATTGACCATTTCATTTCATAACACACCTAAAATAAATCCTCATTTGATTTGTTTTATGAAAGATAAAGTTGTCTACCTTTCTTTAGAATGGAACAGCCCATCTTTCAACCAATGACAAAATTGTATTAGGTAGAGGCCTACAATGGAATTTCAATGCATGTCACATGCTATGAAATCCACCAATCAAATGACAAGGATCTATTTAGGTGTGTTATAAAAAACAATATATTATAAATGTACAAAAGTATGGTTAATTTGTATAATTTGTGATTTGTGTAATTTTTAGAATTTATATTTATTTATATTTATATTTCTATATTTGCCATTTTCTTATTTTGATGTAAGTGGGATTACTCCAAACCTCATTACCACTCAGACTTAAATCTTTATATCTAGATATCATCAGTTTTCCGATCTTAAAATGTTGCTAGTTGGTTGATCTGCATTAGATACCTTAAACATGAATAATTAAATAATACTAATTATTGTTTTTTATATCTTTCACAGTTGCAGTTGAGTGCCTGTGTTACTGTCCAAGTTTACAAAGTTTAAAATTGAGAAACAATTATATAGATGTTGTCTGCAATTTAACATCTTGTAACCAACTCTGGAACATAGATCTAGGAAATAACAGAGTAAGTTAAGGCAGTACACTAGTAGAGGTCATAAAGTTAACTATGTATTTGTTCATCAGTTTTGCAGTTCTAGTGTTTGAAGCGTTTGCCTTTCAATCTTATACTAATGTTATCATAGTACTAGTAGTAGCCTTGTGTACACAGTACATGATAAAATAGTAAAACATGTCATTTTTACCAAATATTTATGTGCCTTCTGGTCATAAAAGTGACATAAAATTTAATAAACGCTTTTAACTTTATTTAGCTAGTTTTTCGTTGTCTTTAATCTGAAGGTTACAAATTTAGATGGTCTGTCCAGATTTGTTGCTCTTGGCTTGGTAAATTTATCAAATAACAATTTAACATGGGCTGAATTGATGAAGATTCGTCATATTCAAATCTTGGATCTTCATCTGCATGGCAATACCAAGTTAGAAGCTGATCCTAACTGTAAGTAATACTATTTTTTTCATAGTCCCACATGATAATTGAACCCATTTGAATTATGCTAAGACAGTTTTAAATGTAAACATGCTTAGACCTGATTACTTGAGTGTAACAATAATTTCATGTTTTTACTTCCTCAATTTATATTTATTTTTATTCCTAAAATTACACCCAAGTTATTGGGTATCTCATATCTTTGTCAATTTCATTTAATTTAAATAAAAAGTTTTTCTCAGGTTTGTTTTATCATCAGTAAATGGACATTCACAGCAACAAATTTACATATTCAATCATACATTTATAAGTATGAAAATTAGTATTAAGTTATTCAAGGTAACTAAATTACATATTAATGATTGTGTATTTAATCGTACATTTATAATATGCAAATTTGTGTTAAGGTATTCAAGTTGCAACTAAATTGCATATTACTGATTGTGTATTTGATTTTGTCTTAGATCGTATTCATGTTGTTGACTCGCTACATAACATCTGGATGCTGGATGGCAGAATTATTACATGTAAGATGATTTTTTTATTTTGTCAAGTTATATAATATAAGTGAGCACTAGCACTGCAAGGTTTTTATATAACAGCAAAACAACAGAAAGTCCAAAGTCCTTCATTATTTTCTATGGGAAGAATGAAGGTAGCTAGCCATACAGGTTGTGAGTTGTGACGGTAGGGGTGTAAGATTTTGCACTGTAAATGCACGCAGAAATGTTGTCCTCTTTCCTCTCAGGAGTATGAATGGATAGCTTGTAGTGTGTTGCAATAATGCTTATTTGTATTGGATATTTGTATTGCTGTAAATTATTATATTATTAATTTGTGCATGTTACATGTAGCATCCAGTTCCAACTATCTTTAGAACAATGAGAAAAGGAGAATAAAAAAATCAAAAGAAAAACATAAATAAAACACAAGAATGTTTAAAGGGAAAAAACATTATAAGAAATGAGTCTTTGAATCATTTTTTTGAAAATGAACTGAGATGGAGATTCACAAACATGTTTAGGGAAAGACTAACTCCATGGCGTAAGCACTGCTAGTAGTGCCACATGATTAGGGATACTCCCCAGCAGGAAGAGGAACAGTTTGTAGGCTGTGCGCAGCTGCCAACGTGGACTAAGCATATTTTATTATACACCAAACACAAACTGAATATTGAGTACAAACTTCGCTACTAACACCCTCTATTCACACCTGACAAAATGTAACAAACAAGTGAAGCACGCAAAGAGTTATCAAGACTTTCCTACCGAACTGACCATCATCTTCATGCACGTGTATTCAAACCTCACACAAGATTTTTTTTTATATATCTTGTTTATAGTGATTGCCCGCCAATCATGATGATTTTAAATAAAAATAGAATTTTATTTTTGGCCAATTAGCACACTCGCCACCACAAAAAATGGAAATTTCCGGAAAATAATAAAATTTGTTCCTTATTTTTATTATGCCCATCACCGCTGACTTGAAATCTCCAAAAATAAGATACCTGTATGTATATTCCCTCCTAATTATATAAATTTAAAGCATTTAACCATATTTATGTAGTCAATTTATGTTAGAAAAGACAGATGCTACCTTTTTCATTGTAGCTAGTCATAATTTTAATTTAGATCAAGTTAGCTTTAAGTATTGTTAAACCTTTTTTTTGTATTTGGCGGTTTATGGTTTTGTTTTGTTTTTTGTTTGATTTTTGTTTCGTTTATGCTGCTAGTCACTTAAAGACGGGCACTTGCTGCACACGACGGTTCTATGAAGAACACAATGCGACGACATGCGCGCAACGGATCGTTTTTAATGACGATCCGCTCAGACTCCCTCCGGCAATCAGCAGACGTCGTGGCGTCACAAAGAATGGAATTGGATTCGTCGTGCCACAGGCTTTACATTCAAATTTTAGCTAAGAAAAAACATTAAAATAATATTGGTTTTTTCAATTGTGCATATTTGTTTTTAATTTAGTTTAATATGTTTAATATAATTGTATTTATGTACCTCACAGCCTTTTGTAAGAACACCCACAGGGTGAAAGAGTTTCGTGAATAAGTAAAGATTATTATTATTATCATTATCATTACTACACCGTTTACATTCAGCAATAAAAAAAAAAATTTTTCTCCACCTTCTGGATGTTTTTTGTCAAAATTATTTGATAAATATGAAAAACAAATTGTATTTATATTTTATCTCTGCTCTCTGCTGACGACCTTTAAAAAAATAAATTCGCAAAAGAAGGTTTAAAAACGTCTTGCCTTAATTTTTAACTAATTAATAACTTTAAATTCTTACCTTTTTATATATATATATTTTTTTTTCAGCAAATGAGAGTATTCAAGTGGAGCATTTCTTTGAAAAGTCATCACTCTCTTCACATCCAGTTGTGAGTTGTTATATTTTTTTTAATTGTGATATGTTCACATAATCATGTGATTAAATGCTTACCTTCCCATAGTTACCAACCTTCTCGCATCGTGTGGGAGGATTCCGCATTCCAAAGTGATTTTGGATGAAACACGCATTTTGCAGAAAAACATGCGTGATCATAAATTTGTCACGCATTCAGCACAATTGTCTCTGCGAAATTCAGGGGAAAATGTATTTAAAATTAGAAGAAATTGGTTTTATTAAATATATAAGAAAGTCATGCAGTAGCTTGAGTCAATAGAGAGTTTTTGTTATCTCGTTTGAGAATCAATTCAGCAGGGAAAATTTCTCTTGCCCCACCAAAAAACCCAGCCAACCACGTACTTAGTAGAATCTAGTCGTGTGCGGTCTTGCGCGTTCATTGTCACAACCAAACGTTGATGTGGCTGGAACTGGTCCACACCGGGATCCCCCCCCCCCCACACACACACACACTTAACTGGTGCAGTCAGGCATTTCAATTCTCTCAGGTTGATAACTATGCCTTCCAATTTATGAGCCCCTCATGGCTGTGAAACCCTGAGAAAACAAGGGGCTAGCCAAAGATGGTTGGCAGGCCTGAAACACACAGTATTGTTTTTAATTTATTTTTGCGGTGCTAAGCATACCGTAGATATGTCAGTACATTGTCAGTACACTTTCCATCCATGTAAAATCCTTGTAAAAGTCCTGTTGGTTTAAGAAAATCACGGAGTAACAATTATATATATTCTAACAATATCAGAATCACGATGTTTGTTTTTTAATTTCTTTCTCTTTTTATCAATAACACGGGTAAAAACAAGTTGTCACTAGTTAGTTAAAAATTAGGGCTAGGCTAGGCTAGAATGGGTTTGTTTTGAAATATTGCGTGTCCGCAGTGATAGCAATGTTACATCTTGGTTATCTTTACAGGTCTTGCTGAGGTCTGTAAAGATTACCGAGCTATCACACGGATGTTACATTTGTTTTACATGGATATGCATTCACATGCTCTGGTTTGGCTTTCTTTAGTAGCAGGAAGTTTCAGTGAAACATATTTGAATTATATCTTTCATTTCAGCGGCACAAACTTACAAAAAAACAATTTGTGACAACAGCTATGAAAAGGATTCAGGTAGAAGGGTCATATGGTGAGAGGGTAAGTGCATGGAATATATTTTATATACTTTTTGTTTAATCGAGAAGTTGTAAATGTGAGGCATCACCACGAAATTAGATGCATTGTTGGTGAAATCAAATTGAGATATTCACCAAAATTGAGCATTGAGTTAACAGTTAGCTAGTTGTCTGAGACTTTATTGTATAGACCGCTTTAAAATGCTTGTTTATTATTATTATTAAAGTCAAATATCAAAACATTTTGATTTTAATGTTTTTTTAATAACTTGATACATATATTTTATGATTGTATTATTTTTACTTTTTAACACTATAACTGAAACAAAAGCAGTTTATCTCATTAATGGAAATGTCCCCTGAAAATGTGTTTCCCCATAGTGTTAAAGGAAACACTTTCCTTCATTTTGTGACCAAAAACAAAGGAGTTCTACTTTTTTTGAGGAAGCACATAATTTTATGAATAATAGGGATGTTTCTAAAAATTAAAATTGAGTTTTTGGTATTTTTAGATTCTGCATGAATTCAACTAAACAGTGCTTATTTAATTTGAAATTGGTTGAGTATTACCGAAGTTATGAATATTTAATTCATTGAATATCAGCCATGTAGGTTTTGAGAAAACATCTTCCAAGACTCAAATTCAATAGTTAATATTATTAAGAGTTGTATTTTAAAAAATAATTTTAATATATGTTACCACGTTACCACAGGATCTTACTCTTAAATAATGAGAAAGATAAGACAACAACTTTATAACACAAAGGCTGGATATTTAATTGTTCTTAATTTTTAAAACCTAAATAAGATAATATAAATTATAGATAACCTAATAATTTATAGTTAAGACATGGAGTTACAATTAAATTCATGGTTACACATACTGTACATCAAAGGTTCCATTCCTAGAATTACTTAGTTTTAGCACAGGTTTTCTGAAATACAGAATTCATCTAGACTTATCTAAACAAAGGTAACTGAAGATAAATACAAAATACATGTACCGAAAGGTCCACTGATTAATCTCAGATAAGAAAGTATAATACATACTCCAAGTATTGAAATACACGCCATCACGATGGCGTGTATTTTAATACTTGGAGTATGTATTATACTTTCAAATACATGTACATACCTGTTAAATAATGGTAAAGATAAGACCACAACTTTATAACACAAAGGCTGGATGTTTAATAGTTACCAGCCAGGAGGTCATCTCTCATTCTCTTTGAGGTATGTACCATTACAGGGGTTTCATTATAGGTGGATTGTTCCATTTTGTTACTGGTAACATATACTTTTCAGTTAAATTTAGTGATTGATATTTTGTTTGCGGAAGTGTTTTTCAAAATATTTTATTTTATAAAATGACAAAACATGAAAAATTTCAAAATTCTGATTCTCAAACACTGATGGGTACTTTTGCGAAATTAGATATTATGACAAAGGACGGGCATTCGCCAGAGCCAGTCACAAATTCTTTACGCTTGAAAGAGCCTTTTTAAAATCCTCATACGTATTCTGTACAACCCCATTTTTGGGGAAAGTTATTTTTTGGCATCGAAACCAAGAAAAGTATATCTCTTAACACCTTGGTCAACCTAACATTAATATTCCATGTGGTCTTCATAGCCACATTTTTCATAGAATAGCCTGTGCACCATTAAGTTACTGGGTGCAGCTAAAAAAGAAGCATAATTCTCCCAAAAATTGATTGATTGTTTCTACTTTTACTTGTTACAAAACAATTGATATGTTTTATCTTTTATCTTATTAGACAATGCATCTGATGGTTCGGTTTCCGCAAGTTGAATGCTTGAACGTGGACACTGATATACGCAGGATAAAATACTTGGCATTCAACCTACAGCGAGACCTCTTCCTTGCGGAATGCTACGGTGAATGGTGGGTAACTACATTCAATTGTGGGTTAGTCACTTTTTAAATTTTAGCTAAGAAAAAACATGAAATTAATATTCATTGTTAATTGTTAATATAAAATTAGACTTATTCCTACTGTAGCAGGAGAGGTGCCAAGTTTGCCCGACGGGTGTCCAATGTCCCTGACTACAGTGAATGGAGCGCTGTAAATTTGTGGTTAAGGTGCTCTTCTTATATAACCGCAATTTCTTGGTTCAGTCAGTCATGGCAGAAAAATGTCAGGAATTTTTTCACAACCAAATAAAGAGACTTAAGACTCTGCCTTGGTCTATAGCACTGAGTTTCCAAAAAAAAAATAGCTCTTCACTCCACAAACCTTGATAAAAGACTTATTTATAGGAAATCAAGGTGGGGTTGGGGGTGGTTTCTGTCTAACTGGGGATTACAGTTTTTCTCTGCCCACAACTGTGTGATCATTCTTTCTCTGTTTCTGAAGGTCAAATGAGGATAATCTACCGTGCAACTTTCTTGAGAAGCTTATTGAGTGCAGGCCGAGTGATTGTGAACGTTTTAACGTCTTGCTACTACTATTAGTAGCGTCACTGGAATTCTCATTCCCAACCATACTCATGGAGGAAGCAGTTAAAGAGGCAAAGCTCGTCAAACTAAGGTACGCTCAAATGATTGCATTTATTTTATTTAGTAATATTTAATACTAATTATTGCATAGTTACAAAGTGGTGGTAAGTTGCCTTACAGCGTTACAAGAAAAATGATGAAAAATGATAGTGTCTGAGTTTTGTGAGTAGATTTGAACTAATACTTCGATGGTCTCTAGCAGCTTTGGTCTGTAATTAGAATAATAAAGATATAAAACATTTGTTGATTTAGGACCACAGAAAGGTTGAGGTGGTATTTAATTAGACGGAGACCTGTACTTTCTGTTGGAGACAAGACTACTATGATCATCATGATTGACCTAAAAATGTTGATAATTTAAAATTATTGAAATTATAATAATAAAGGTAATATCCTTATGTGCAAATGTTATATGGCATTAAAATTCCATTATTATACTTAATTGTATTGTGTATTTTTTTTGAAGTACAATATTAATTACTGTTGTATTAATCTTCCACAGTAATGTTTCTACCATTCACCTGTTTTTGTTGCCAAGAGACATAAGAGGACAAATTTGCTCTTTGTTGTTGAGTGCAGTAAAAGTTGATCGAGATGCTAGAAAGGTAAGAAATGCAATACCACCACCACTGAACTCAACAAGCATTTTTGTGGTCAAGTTAATAACTTATCATTTTATAGCTATCATAATCAATCAGTATTTGTTAATTATTGTCATTTTATTTATTAAAATTTTTAAATTGTATTGATTTTAAGGCTATTTGTTTGTTCCAGTATTTCAGTGTCACCTTATGTTACATTATATTAAAGTCCAAATATTAAGCATGGAAAGCATCATTAATGTAAACATCCTGAGGTCCCTGACCAGTAGCCTCATGTATCATGCATCTTGCAACCGACCACTAGCCTCATTTATCATGCATCTTGCAACCGACCAGTAGCCTCATGTATCATGCATCTTGCAACCGACCAGTAGCCTCATGTATCATGCATCTTGCAAATTGGACCCCCTAGGATAGCGTTTTCATGATCGGCCCTACTTTCTGCCCGCCTTTGAACATCTCTGGATCCACCCCTGCATAGACCATGGGAATGGACTCTTCTATTATTTTCGAGGGGCATTCTAGTTAAGGACAGTCATAATAGTTTGGTTTAACTCAGGTATAGATTGCTAATTTGTGTAATCCATGCTTTTTCTTTTTACTTTTCTAGGATGATGGTCTTCATGATAGACTCTACCTGTGTCTTTACTACACCATAACTGACATAATAAAAAGAATGCATGCCAGGCCCGACAGTTCACCAAAGCATGTCTTAAAACGAATGTAAGTACCATATACGATAGTAAAAATCTTCCTGTGGCAACAATAAGCGTGAACCTCTTTTGGAAAAAATACCCAGAACAGCAGCACACATTCTCAGTATATTTAACCTTTCACTACTAATGAAAATGATATTGCCACTATTATTGCGAAAACATTGCAACAGTCTGCCGACGAATCCATCTCCGCTTTCTGATTTGCTGATTGTTGATGGCAGTTTGAGCAGATTATGGTTAAAAAATCATTTTTTTTCACGCGCCTCCCAGCATCTCTGTGGAATCGCAATGGCTAATGACCATTTGTTTTATATTTTACTCAAGATATCGTCAGTATCGAGGTTTGTTAGCTGCAGAAGTAGTCCAGCTTTTCTGCATTGTGCCGTCATTCTTTGACTTGATGCAAAACGACCCTGGAGTGATGCAGCTTGTGTCAGCTGCGTCTGGTGACGGAGATATGCCACAAAAAGTCTCAACCCTAATGGAGAGGATCATTGAAAGTGGGGTAAACTAGACATCTATTTTAACAGGTGTTGGTTTGATCAGACTGATTGTGTATTTTGGTGTCTGTCATATCTGATCAAACAAATCATGTGGATTTCAATGTCTGACAGTGTTCTACTGTATTACAGAAGTCTCATCAAGCTTTGTCTTTTGAGTTTTGACTGACTTTGGTGGTGCTCAGAATGAATCATAGAATTTTGTGTGTGCACAAGTATTCTATACATTTAAACATATAAAATATAATGTGAGAGATTAAAGTAGAAATTGGTAAATTAAAAAATGTTACAGTATGAAGCCTTTCGTAGTGGAGTTGAGGCATGTTGTGGCAAAATCACTAAAGTTGAAGCTAAAACTAGAATTCAAGTTATCATTTTTTCAGATACTTGAGTATGTACAGCAATTTTAAAATGGGGGGAGGGGCCCATCCATTAAATTTGAACATTTTAAGTTGTAGAGGGTACAGCACCATTTGAGTCATGATAAAGGTGATTATTAGTAAATTGCTTTCAATATTCATGCATAGATAACTACCAAAAAAACATTAAACTGTTTTGTTGATCATTTCCAGAGCTAAGACCTTGGGACACAATTAATTAAAATATCATACTGTACAGTTATTTTTTAACATTTAATCTGATGATTCATAATGATTTTTATTTTTCAATTTTTTGAGCTCCATTATTTTATGGGTAATTTACTCAATGCTGGCCTGTGCCAAAACATTAGCCATTTTTCCACTAAATGCCTCAACTATTCACAAAATCCAAGCATCACATTATTTGAACCCTGGAATTATTATTATTAATTGGAAGTTAGGTTTATTAATTGGAAGTTAGGTTTATTAATCACCAAAGCTGCAAATGTTTTCTAACCCATTTACATGTGACCTCCACCTGAACAAAGTTGTTTTGTTATTTTCAGGGAAATTCTAGACGGATGGTGGAAGAAGCTAGTGAATTAATTATGGCATCTATCTACGAGAATACAAGGAATGTATTTGGACACAAGATTCCAGCAAAAAGCCAGTCAAGATATGTTTTATCTGTGAGATTATCAAATATTATTTGACAAATACTATTTAATTATTTATTTAATCTTTCTTCATACTGTAGGCACTTTCAGTACCATACTGATATTCAAAGTGGTACAGTGACGAGAAACATATATGCAGTGTAACTAAAACAATGAATATATTAATATATAAATATAAAATAAAATGTAAAAAAATTATTTTAAAATGATTTTGGAATGAAGAAGTTGATATCTCTTCGCAATAAATTATTAATTTGTGTGGTAGTTATTCCAGCATTTGGATAATCGTTATAAAAAAGTTCTTTTTCCCTGACTGATATTATACATTCGAAGAACCAGGTTGTTATGTGTTTGGCTATGTGTTCCTTATTATTAATAGTGAGTAATATTATTAAAGTTAAATTTTGAAGACAAATATTGAAGAGCATATCATTTTAAGCATTTGAAAGTCCTAAGAAGTAATTTTTCATTCCAAATCACATTTAGTCTACTCCATCCAATGGCACTTATAATTAACGGGAGTCTTATTATCAAAAGTAAGTAAAATCCTACCTAATCTATTTATAAGAATTACAAGGGGGTTTTTTGAAAACAGTTTAACCCCCCCCCCCAACTTTGAACCCAGATCCACCCCTGATTATGACCATTTTTGTCAAATTATATTTGATAGTCTGGACAGGGTTTGATAAAAAATATAACAGTGTGTTGTTTTTTGCTAGATACAAGAAGCTATTCCACGGCGACCTATGTCAACACCACTGTATTCGAGTAGTTTACTTTCTGAAGGCCGTAGCCACTCAGCTAAGTCCAGAAAGGTTATTGGGTTAAATCCAAGGAAAGTTGTGGCTAAAAAAGCTCCTGTGTTGGGTGAAAAAGTACTATTAGGCCCTCAAAACCTAGGGTTTATCATTGCCCTACCAGAGTCAAGTATTGCACTGATACAGCTGGAGAACATACCAGGTAGGTACAGATATTTCTATCAAAGTATTTTCATTTTTATAATTCTATTTTTTAAAATTTTTATAATACAAATAGTTACTGAAGCCAATCACTTAAAATATTGAGGAGATCACAAAGTGAAGTTTATAACAACTGTCAAATCATATACATGAGCATAGCCTTAAATACATTTAAATTTGAATATAAAGATTCTGTATTATAATATACACATTCTTTTCAAACGAAATGCGGACAAATAGTTGAAAATACAAATTATGGAGTTTGTTGAAATAATATAATTCATGGTTTGTTTAGTTATTGCATTTTACTTATATATATTTATCTTATTATATTGATCTCCTTTATTTTAATCATTGCCTGCTAGATTTAACACCAAGATTTAAAGGTTTGATATTAACTATATTGTTGATGTGTTATAATGTAAATCATTGTTATGCAACGCATTGTTGTAGCACACCTTAAGCTAATTCAATGAATGCTTTTATATATTTTGTGCCAGCATAAATTTACACAGTGAAAATTAATACAATAGGCATTAAACAAAGTACATTTCACATCATTTGTACAATTACAAAAGCGAGTCTTTTAAGATATTTTGCCTAATACACCACAATTTGTATCGATGAGCTATACCTTCATTATTGTATTAGGAGTTTTGTGTAATATAATAATAATAATAATAATAATAATAATAATAATAATAATAATATATTGATTGATTGATTTGATTGAATGATTGTTGACTATTGTCACATTCCTCAAATGTATGTTTTACTTTTAATTACATACCACACCTTTGATTTTTATAACACACTAAAATCAAGTATTAATTGTATACTTCTGACAAATAATAGTAATTATAATAATGATAAAAATAATTAATAATAATGATTATTACTTAACATAATGTTTGATATGCAAATTATTTTTTATTTGAGTGATGAGGCAAATAACATTTCTCTTTAACATGTTTTCAATTTTATTTTGTAAGCTAATAGTTTGTTATTTTCACATTTTGTACTCATGTAAGCACAAAAAATACACAATTTGAATGAAGTATGTGTTTAAAATAAATTAGTAAATAAATTTATACAATTTTGGAATTTTTTTTAAAGAATTATAGAGGACATTGACCATCATACTGGTTTATATGGAAAAAAAATTGCTGTGTTTACTTTCCAAGTCATTGTACAAAGGCCCATGTGCCTACGTTTGAAGCTTTATTGCTACACTTTACTCACCCTGTTAGGTTGGCAATGAAACCTTTTGATATCTTTATATTTCATTTAAGCAGATCTCCCAGAAGTGGTTTCTTCTAACTTATAACCAAGTCAATTCGTCCCCATGTCAACTTGGCCCCAAGTCAACTCGTCCCCATGTCAATTTGGCCCAAAGTCAACTCTGCCTCAATTTACTGTATAACAAATTTTATAATCATTTACTGTATTATAAATTTTTGTTTATACAGTTTTATTATTGTTATATGGTTGTAAAAAAAAAAGGAATCACAAAGGCAACGATAAAACACTTTAATTTTGGCATAGTTATATGCCAAATATTTTTTGGTAATTGTTTACCGTAGTAAATACACAGTATATTGGGGCTCAGTTGACTTGGGGCCGAGTTGACATGGGGACGAGTTAATTGGAGGCGAGTTGACTGGAGCCAAGTTGACTTGAATTCACTTACACTTATTATACAAACTAATATTTATTGAACACCAAGCTTTCTTTTTTGTGCAATGAACTTTTTCAGGATGCTATTTATAATACGAAAATATCTTAATCTTTTTTATAGCACATAGTGGTTCCATGATTTCCAAGTTTAAGAATCATAATGATTTCTACTCATATGTTAATATGAAAGGAATGGTCTTCAATGGAGATTTTGGTTACTGGAAACCAAAAAGAACAATTGGAGACAGGTAGGTGTACAGACCCTTCCTATTAACTTGATACAGTTTTTTTTTGTTTTTTTTATGAAGCCCGCCTTGGCTATGCCCGCCCCTACTGCTACATCTGATTTTATGTAGTGTTTCCTCCTGATCAAAAGCCCAGGTTTTGAATAAGAAGATCAGTTCACACACAATTTTCAGAAAAAAAAAAAAAACTAAGATTTGCTTTGATTTTGGCATGCCAGTGTTGAACACTTACCAGGCCTTATCGAAACCTTTTTATGAGTAGAAGATTCCCAAAGTGTAAACCCATCTTCCTCCCTTCTCCCCTGCTCCCCCTTCCAAAAAAAAAAAAAAATGTATAAATAAATAGATAAAAGAGAAAAAAAATTAATTAATTTTATGTTTAGTAGGGGGTGGACTTTATAACCAAAAAACAATTATGGTAGTAATGTATTATGCAGTTTGTCAGTTTTATGTAAGTATACTGAATGATTGTTTTTTAACATTGATGATAAATATGTCAGTTACATATTACCTGTTAATATTATTATAATATGCAAATCCAAAAAAATGTAGCAATAGTAAGTTTTACTTACAAGACAAAAAACCAGCAAGGAGTTCATCTATTGTTTTATCTTTTGTTTTTTCTTTTAAGAATTACTATGGAGACGACAGTTGAGACAGATTTCATGCCACCAAATCCCCCTAGTAGCCCTCAGCAAGGCAGAAGCCCTAAGGGGTCATACATAGGCTTAGCAGTGGAGCCACAGACACACCCAGTAAGTTGAAAGTAATCGACAAATTCCAATACTTCTACAGTCCATTGTGGTTGCAATGTGGTCTTACACACTACCACTGAACTTGGTTGACTTAACAATACTCACCAAGAGCCCTTAACTAAGAAGTGTTTTAAAGATGTTTCACACATGGCCACAGGCTGTAAACGAAACTCGGTACCCTTTTGATTTTTTTCATAGGCAGTGGCATATTCTGGGGTTGTGCAGGAGGGGGGGGTCTTCCCCATTGAAAAATCACCTCATATAAACTTATTTTGGAGAGGTAGCACCTTTTCACTTAATCATTGAATTTTTACTTCACCTTCAGCCTCCCCACAAGCACCCCTCCCCATCAGGACCCCTCCCCTTCACCATTTTAAGACTCTAGATACACCACTGAACATAGGAAAACTTTACTGATTGTTTTATTTACATTGTTTATATTATTCATTTATCAATTTTTCCTGGTCTTCCAGCAAAATATACCACCATCAATCTCAGAAGTTTTACTTGAAAAGCAGAGAAATTCTGTTTCAAGCGCAAGTACAGTAAAGTCTATAGTTAGTAGAAGCAGGGACTCCCTGGCTTCAGATGGACCAGATAAAATCCAGCAAGTTAAGCAGAGTACCCTATCCACATATGACAGCATGAATGATGAGTCTGATCTCAATAGCGCCCTCTATGATAGTGTCAGGAATGCAGTTGAAACATTGAATAGTAACAGTAAAGAGGTAATATAGAGCATCTTTTATCTTTTTATGTAAATTTGTTTGTATTTTGTTTTACCAATATTGTGGGGTCAAACTAAATTGAAAGAGCATCACTAAAAAAAGCAGTAAAAAAAAAAAGAAAACATCAAAAATGTCTTTGAATGGCTACATGCTTAAAATCTGTGATTATAGTAAATAACATAGAGATGACAATCAAACAAAAAATAAAATGCATGTTTTGAACAACTAGGTTTGGACAGTTGCCACTGGCCATCGTCAATACAACGTTGCTCACCTCGCCCCCGGCTTCCACTGAGGGGGTGAAAACTCGTGCCTGTCTTGTATGACATGTATTGGGTATTGTCATATGGTTTATGAGTACTTCAAATGTTTTTTTCATACCGAACTGTCATGAGCCTTCATTGTTTGTTGCATATTACACAACAATACCTTGAGAGAAATAAAAATGTGAATGGGAAAATCCAAAGGAGAATACTACAATTGGTAGAGTATTCAAATTAGAATCAGAGGGTGTTGGGTTTGATTCGTGATGGGGAAAAAATACATTTTATCTAAAAAAAATTTGCACATGAAAAAAATTGCCTGAAATTTTGCTATGACAAAATGAATATAAACAACTATAATGTGATGTTGAATAAATTATGGCATCATACTCAAAATTGATATGCAATAGACCGAATCAGTGCCTCCAACTATTACTGGTCACGTGACGTATTATAGTGGGTACTAAATGTAAATAGCCATATCGTAATCCACAGTGTGCTCAGTTTAAACACAGTATATTGAAAGAGTTATGATGTTTTTTAGACAGCGACCCAAAATAAAGTAAGGCGGTAGGCCTATGTTTTGTTTTTTTTTTAAATTAGTGATTTATATTTGGCAATCTCCATGCATTTTATTTAGGCTCTGAAATGCTGCTAGTGTAGGCTATATTACATTACATTACTCACTCATTAATATTAATGATAATAATTGTACTGTAAGAGTTAGTTTTAGCGCCATTTGCTGCGAATAAATTTTGAAAGTTGTTAAAGATTTAATTTTTAGCATGTGTCATCTTTTGTGTGAGGTTCTATATTATATTGGCAACAGGCAGAACACATTAACATAGATATGGAGAAAGCAGACCTGATTTCTAACCAGCAGTTAATTTACAAGCACTATACCCTTTCATTACCATTATTAAAGTTATTATTATTGTTGTATAACATGTTTTGCTAAATCCCTTGCAGCTTACTTTTACTGAGTCCATCAGTGATGTTGAACAAACAAAAAGGTAAGACAGAGTATATGAGAGATAATGATTCATATTTTCTTTTTGTTTACTTACATGTGTTAAATAGCATTAAATTAGCATTAAAGGATATTATTTTATAATATTATATTATTATTTTTGTTATTTGTCTTCTATGAATTACATTTATATAATAATTTTTTCTAGTAACATATATTTTTATTCCCAAAATTTATCATAATCATTTTGATTATTCATATTTTTTGAATAGTTGTTTGGCAGACAAGTCCTGTAGCCATTGTGTGATGGCAGGATGTGTGGCCTGTAGATCCCAAGATTCTCTTCACAGCCATGTAATGCACAGTGACAGGTATGGTACCCCTTAAATTATCAACATATTTGACCTCCACTATTTGTTTGGCAACATATTTGACCTCCACTATTTCCATAATTATGCATAGCGCCAAGTAAAGAATGTTACATCAAATAGAAAAACAAAGTTCATTTCAGTTTTGGTTCTAGTTCTGATTTTGGCAGTTCTACTGATTCTCTATTGAAAAAGATAATAAAATCTTATTCCTTATAGTAAACATGGTTGACCTTTGACTCGGGAGAGCTCATCCTACCTTTGTTCAGCTGTTGTTTTTCTTGGTGCTGGGTGACCAAAACACCCTCCCCTTTCATTTACTAAAGGTCCAGTGTACACATCTGGCTTGTGTGCACCTTAAAAACCCATTGCATCTTTCGGAATAGAAGGGGGTTACCACGATGCTATGGTTCATTTCAGCCCATGTCACTGTGGAATGATATGAACATGTAACTACTATGAGCGCCTCTTTACGGCTGCTAGGTAGTCACAAACCACGCCCATAAGCAATTCCACGCAATGACGCTGTGTGTTATGGGTTATTCTCCTACCTACCCATCTAGCACACTAATAGTACAGTCAGCACTTTCTCTATATTTATATACTGTAGTTCTAAAGTAGTCAGCAAGGCCCACCTGACTATTGACCTTCGACCTGATGGTGAACCTACTCAAACTGAGATTGAAAGAATTGAGATGTGGGATAAATCTGTGAAACAGAATTACAAGCCACGAAAACGAGCAAGTAGTGCGTGTAAGTTACCTTAAAGTGCAAGCAGTTTTTAAATATTCAAGAATCTGTATCTTAATCATTCCTGAGTTTCAGCTTTTGTTTTTTTTTTTTTTTTTTTTTTAATCAGTACAACATTTCAAATGTTTTTTCATCTGGTGCCTGGCTTTTACATAATCATATATGATGTCACCATGACCATATTAAGGCATGTCACATTTTTTTGTCAGATTAAAAATTGGTTGTCTGGACAAAGCTTTAGATTAACAATAATGATTAATAATAATATATTGCTAAAGATTTATATAACACCAGATCCAAATCAATGATCAAACGCGCAGTGCACTCTTGTTGATTAATTATGATTTAAGTATTTTTAATTAGATGCACGTTATTCAACGTCAATGATGCAAGACTATGACAATCATCGGAAGAGCAGCAGTCCTGTAATGATCCAAATGGGCAATACTTGGTTGGCTGGTGGTCATGACCTCCACTACATTACTAAAAAGACAAATCAAATGAAACTTAATCATATACCAGGTTGGAAGCAAGGTTTACAAGGGCGCCCTCAGTCATCAAAGTCTTTTACAGAAAGGTAAATTTTATTTAGTCTTATAAGTAAGTGGACAGATGAAAAAGAAATGTACAGTCATTTAAAAGGATAAAGAAGGTGGCTCAGCGATTATTACTGTATATTGTATAGATAATTGTTGAATTCTCTTGTTTCACAGGATGCAGAAGAAAATTAGGAACATCAATTCAGCTCATCCACGACTAGAACACGTTGCTAGTAAGTGAACAACATTTAATCCACAGGCACTCTACCAGACAATTTAATCATTTTCATCTACCTGTTACTCGTACTGCTCTTAGCTCTTACTCTGGCCCTGTGATGTGGAGTTTTCTTCCCTCAACCATAAAAAATTCCCTCACTATTAATATCTTGAAACGTCTCCTGAAAACATCATTACTTCAGTTAAGGTTAACAAAATTGTCGATAAGTCTAATTTGTATTAAGCTTTGCTTTTTTAGTACTCGTCACTCATATTTTTTTTTTTTTTTTGTATTGTATTTATTGGAATTGAGTGGAATAAAAATTGAATTGAATTGAATGCCTGCGTTGATTGACAGATTTGTATTTTAATGTTTTTAAATGTTTAATATGTTGAAATTTATACCTCGGTCTTAAGGAAATGAAGTTACTGAAATACATGTCCCTTCCTTTTAAAGACTCTTCCAGTTTATAGACAACCTCCAGCTAAGGACCACTTCCAATTAAAGACTACTTTATTGTTTTCTCAATAAAATTTAAACCTTGCATATAAAAATACATTGATAATATAAATACAATACAAAAGCCTCTCATTTAATCAATGATCCCCCACTTCACCACCCCTATTTCAACTACAGTAGACAACATTATGCTGATTCGACAACCGACACCTATGTCTGCTTAAAACATGTAAACAGCAAGTAAAATACTTGACTAAAGGTAATAGAGAAATTATGTCAACCAAACTTAACAAATTTCAACATTAAACAAAATTTTTTGGATTTTTTGGAGGATCATAATTATACCGTGATTCTATTATATATCTTATAATACTTTTTGTGTTTCTCTTCCCTTTGGTGGGGTTTCTTTTTTGAATAAATTAAATTGAATTATGATAAATATTACTGTATATA